TGTGTGTTTTGTGCTGTGGAAACACATGCATTTCTGAATGTCTGCCCGTGATTTTTTCTCAGTGCTTTCAAGTGTGAGAGGGACAGATAAATGGGAACTTAAGAATGAAAGTGGGAAGGTAAAAGCAGGCACTTACCTGTGCAGGTGAGCACGTACACAATCTTTATATCCATAAACTGCCTGTCTGTGAGGCACCACATGCGTGCGCGGGTGTATGTGCTGTTGTGGAGCAGCACCCAGGTGTAAGCCTGATTATCTTCCCACACATCTTTTAACGTGTGTGGAATAAGCTGCACATAGAGCTGACGTAGGTGTGCCTGGACTTTTCACACTTTAAGCAGATGCGGAGTCCTTAGTCCTCCGTATGAAGAAAATCTACTCAAAAACTGACTTTATCTCTGTCTTTAGTTTATTTTGGTTGAACTCAGAGCCTATGATGAGGAAAAATGTAGCAGAGAGCATATATTTTCCTGCCCACTGCATGTCTGGACAGCATAGCTGAATGTATAGGCTTTGTATGCCTGGAGCTGGTGGGTGAGCTGTTCAGGCCAGGACAGAGAGCCTGTCTGTGTCTTAGTCAGTACATCATTCCTGGCTTGCTTTTTCCACAAAGAGTCACCTAAATCTTTAAAGAACAGAGGCAGCTTGTTGGAGTGGAGGAAAGAAATTCTGTAGCTCTGCTAGCTCATTTTTTTAGTATCTCTTGAATCTTTCTGAGATTAAGGATGTGGTTCGAGGCATGCTGGAGTTTTTTTCTGCTTTGAAATCAAACAAAAGGGGCTAGCTATAGATAAGGTTATGACAAGGAAAGTTAACCCTTAGGTTGCTAGTAAACTTTTGACTTTATTTCCAGCTTAACACTGTCTGGAGTGTGACTAGATGGCACTGGCTCCCCTTCTTTAGAATGAAGAAAAATACTTTAATGTCTTCCAGCAGGATCATCAAATGGAGTGAAGCGCTGCCAAGTTCAGTCTGAGCTGCAGGGCCCAGTGATTAAAAACAGGCCTGTGCCTTGAGGAGCAGGCAGTGAGGCTGTGTGTGACTGGCTCCACATTGCTTCTCCTTGCAAGGCAGGGCAGTCCCTGTCCAAAATGGAGATGCTGTCATATACTGGGAGTTTCAGGCACATTTAACTACATCACTTTTACAAGCTCTGAGACCTGACAGAAATGAGAGGAATGATACAGAGCCACAGAACCCCAGTTCCTCAGTGTGCCCTGTGTGGCACTGGGAGACTGAAGTAGGCGTACCTGCTAAGTGTGTTGCCAGTGTGACTGAGAGGGTCCAAGTGATAATTCTCCCAAACTTCATCAAGAAGATGCCCAGATAGCCAGCCCAGAACTGTCAGCATCTCAGACTTCCTTTTGACAGAACATTTCTAGCCCCACTCCATAAATAGCTTTTAGGTTGCTCTTTCTATGTATCTTTATATTATTTTTCTTTTCTAAGCCATGGACAAGTTCTGCAGCCACTGCACAGATGAGCAATTTCTCCAAGGCCAACTTTTCAGTCCCACTAACTGCAACTCTTGTGCTTTTTCTCTCTTAACACCAACCATAATGCTCTTACTGCCAAAAGACTCAGCCTGGGTGCAGTCCTCCTTCTGAGCAGCATCTCTGGTGGCCCTTGCTTGTGGCTCAGCAAAAAATAGTGGGACAGAGAGAAAGAAAAAGCATGGAGCTGCAGTGTAACTGAAAAATGTAACAAAGGGAAAATCGCAGTTAGCAAAAGACTTATCTTGGGTGAATTATTTTGTCTCAGCAATGTTTGGTGGTCCTTTCTAATGCTTCCCTGGAAAATCAGGGTTCAGTTTCAAGGGAGAATGAAAGGCATAGATCTGCAGCTGGAGCTGGGTCGGAGTGGGGCTGCCAAACCTGGGTGGGAGGCAGCTGAGAGACAGCTGGGCTGCCAGAAGTCTTTCACCCCAGCAATGACGCGAGTCCTCTTCCCACCAAAAATTACCTATACAGACTGTGTGATCTCACTAGCACAGCCCTTCAGCAGACACTGTCACAAAAGAAAAAGCCCCCATGCTTGTGCCAGCTCCTTTCCCTCATTCTGTGATAGGTAGATCATCTTCTTCCTCGGTCATGTTTGTTTCATGTCTGGTTTTTCTTGTTACTTATTTGTAATGGTCTGAAGGGAGGTGAAGAATACTGCAGTATAAGAATATTTCAATGCCTTTATTTCCTCCAAAGATTGTTGTTTTCATCAAGGAGAAAAGTGTTACTGACCTTAGTGTGTGAGGAGGAAAGATGGGATCCCCAGCATCTGGCTGTGCAGGAGACACCCACAGTGATGGTGAGACTGTGTTTGTGAAGGGTCCATCTGCTGCTCCATCTTAGTCTCAAAGGAGATCACCCTTCTATCTCTTAGCATCACATTCCTTAACCTCTGTGTTGGTGCTCTCTATTTGACTGTAGTTCTCTCGTCTCCAGAAGTCACTCACTGTAGATTGCACCTACAGAAAGCTCTTGCTGTTGTGATCCAAGTTGACTGTGAAGGCAAGGACTGATGCTGCCTGAAATGCATTAGAGATGTGGCTGATCACAGACCAGTCAAGGCTGGGGAAAAGTAGATTCTCTTCAGTGGAGATTATGCATATGCTTGTTCTGCCTGTGCTTGCTTATGTGTGTGTCTGACAATGCTTTTGTCCTTGATCTAAGTGTAGAACATCAGAACATGAGCTTATAGAAGAACATTGTACATGTGCTTTATGCCTGGAGAATGCAGAGCATTTACCTCCTTCCCAGAGTTTTCTCTAGACAGACCCATTAGGAAACAGATTCAGGAAGCTGGGATTTGAGAAAAGAGGGCTGCTATTGCCCTGACACGTGCCACGTCCCAACCTCCCTGAATTTATATCTCTTGCATCTGGAAAAGTGGACAACATGTGTCATTTTAAGGAAATAGATATGCCCCATCATGACAGCAGGGATTACATGATGGGATTATAAAGCAATCTGTGCAAAACCAGAAAGAGATTCTCTTTCCTAGAAACTGACTTCAGAGGCACCCAACTCAGTGAAAACTCAGATTAGAAATAAGAACTAGTAAAACCTTTACTCTGCAATAAACCCAACACATACAGTGATAAAGATAAGTCACTCCCATGCTCCAGGGCATGCTCTCCTGCCAGGATGAGGGAATTTCCTTTGAGACTTTTCATGGCCCTCCAGCTTTGATACTGTAATGCAGTTGTGTAGGCTGTGGTGTAAGGAAAGTTTCTGTCTTCTGATGTATAACAAACAGGCAGGGAAAGGAAATTGGGCTTCAGGATTCTTCTTGCAGCTTTCATTCAGTGAGTTGAACCTGATAATGAGAGGTTTGTTTTACTGAGGATTCAGCAGGCTTGGACTGACTATAGAAAGCAGGTATGGTTTGACAGGGTGTCTCCTATGAAGAACAGTGATGGATAGTTAGGAAATGTCCTACCAGCAGTTACCAGCCTCTCATGAATGTAGCACTAAAAAAAAAAAAAGAGGAAGACATGGTCTCTAGTGGGGGAAGGTAAGTGGAGCCTTTAGAAACGACCAGATTCCCTGGCCTGGTATGAGCACATATGTGCAAGTACTAAACACAGCTTCTGGCTATGGAGCGTGAAACAGTGTGACTTCAATATTGCATGCTGCCTTTTTTTTTTTCCAGACCTGCAGGTTTAACTGAGTGCTGAATGAATTATCTAAAGATCCTTGATATCTATAGAAAATTTCTTGGAGCTTTGAGAAATCCCTGAATAGAATTTCCTACCTGCTCTGGTCTGGTTTAATCTGAAGTTCTGAGTAGATTCTGAAATTCTGGAAGTAGATTCTGGGATTCCCTCATTTACTGAATTCTTATTGCCAAAACATTATTAACTTGGATACTCTCTTCTCTTACTCCACCAAACATAGTAGGGTGCTAGAATTAGAGTTTCAGAACTCAACTCAGTGGCAGTCCCTTTAGATGGAGCAGTCTCCTAGTGGTGGGGATTGAACTAAGATCTCTGACTTACACAGCCTGAGCCCCTTCTGTCTTGCTGAAAAATTTGATGCCAGAAAAGTGGCATTCAGCAGCTGGTATTGGCCAGGAACTCCATACTCCCCAGAGAAACAGACAGTGCTTAATGATAAGTGTCTACAGTAGATCTGACTAAAGAATTAACCTAGGCCAGTCTGGTTTTACAGAATATGGTGCTTCTGATATTTTCAAGATGCAAGAGGTACAGCACACAATTTTTAGTAGGAAGGGCAATCTGTAGTCAAAGATGATTTTTACTGGGTTTTTTTTTTTCATTTTAAATTTTCATTCAGCAAGTTTAATGAAAGGAAAAGAAATAGAGTCTGCCAGGATGGTGGAAGATTCTCACAATATCCAGTTTTAATGCTGACAGCTGTACTCTGCTGTATTAGCAGTCCCTAGTTGGATTGCTGCCTGTTGGGCTGGCCAGCTGCAAACTAATGGAGGGCAACTGTGGGACAGCCTAAGCAGTGGGTGCATGCAGCAAGGACATGTGCCCCATAAAGTCAATGTAGCCTTTGTTTTGGTCTTCTTGGGATGGGAGCTGCAATGAAAGTATAAATACTTAATCTAAATCCAGCACAGCTGTGGAAAACCATAAACATAACCTTAAGCCTACCTTCCTTGTGTATGAGATACAAACCAGCTTAGGGCAGAGAGCAGTTTGAAGCACTGTCAAGCAGAAAAAAAAAATATTCATCATGTAATTCTTGTTTTTAAAAATAGCTTTATTCTTCAGAGTCTGTTAGAAACTGGACCTTCAACAGGCTGCCCCCTCCATGTGAGAGCTTCCCTCCCTGTGTGCCCCAAGCAGGAGCTCAGGCAGGGTTGAGCTGGCCCGCGGGTGTCTCTCTCTCTCTGGTGGCAGGGATCCCCCAAGCAGGAGCTCAGGCAGGGTTGAGCTGACCCACAGGTGTCTCTCTCTCTGGTGGCAGGGATCCCCCAAGCAGGAGCTCAGGCAGGGTTGAGCTGACCCACAGGTGTCTCTCTCTCTGTGGCAGGGATCTTTGGGCAGCGCCTGGAGGACACGGTGCAGTACGAGCGGCGCTATGGGCAGCGCCTGGCCCCGCTGCTGGTGGAGCAGTGCGTGGACTTCATCCGGGAGCGAGGCCTCACCGAGGAGGGGCTCTTCCGCATGCCCGGACAGGCCAACCTCGTCAAAGATCTGCAGGACTCTTTTGACTGTGGAGAGAAGCCCCTTTTTGACAGGTGAGTTGACATCACCAAATTCAGGCTGGTGTATGTGTGACATGTAAAATCTGCCAGTAATGTCCATGCAGTGGCAATCCTGGCTTGCATGTTCTCATGTTCTTTCCACACCATCATCCTCTCTGTTGAAAGCGCTGATGAAGCTTTCTCCCACCTGGTGGTGGGTGTGGAGGCCTTTATTCAGCTCAGTGGTGGAGCAGAGCTCATTGGTCTGTGTGGGGCTCCTCCAGTGTTTCAGCTTAAGCACATGTTGAATGAAAAGCATTGCTAGATTTGGGTGCAGCAAACTGAGGGGCTGGTGGGATCCCATCAGAGAAATGGTTGTGACAGAGCTGAACTAGGTGATGTACTGCTTTCAGATGTTGCATTCTCCCAGCAGATCTGCCTGGAGCAATATCTTGACTCTTCCTTTGTCACCAGGTTTCAGAATAGTCACCACCATCTGACATGTTTTACCTGGCCTTTATGCCAGCAGCTGTTTTGTAGATGCTCAGCTTAATATTGGTTCCCATGGGAGGAGTGCCAGCCCTGTCTCTGCGTGCTCCATCCAAGGGCAGCAAGGGAAGGGCAGCTCTCAGCTGTGCTGTCTCTACATTGGCCCTCAGGCAGTCAGATGATGAGAAAGATGAATGCTGTCAAGGCCTTCCAGCCAATAGCTGTCCTTACCCTGTAACTAACATTTCATGCACTCTGTCAGAAGTGCATCCTGCCTGGAGTGAAGGTCAGCATTGTGCAAAGCTCAATAGCCCTTTGCGAAATGGGGCTTGACCCTAACAGAGACCTTGAACTTCAGGGATATTTGGATCCAAGGGTGTTGTGTAGATCTGGTCTGATCTCTATCACAGGTCCATAAATGAGATCAGATCTGGGATCTTGTCTTGGAGGCCTGGCATCATTTCTTGCTGATCCTCACTAGCCCAGACTTTCCAGGTGATGCCAGCGGCATCTGGCGTATTACCAACACATTAACCTTCGGGGGTTGCTCCCCTGGACCTGCAGCCAGTCTCAACCTTGCCAATCCCTTCCCTTCCCTCCCTACCACTGCAGGAAGAGCCAGCACTGTCTCCTGCGTGGGCAGAAACAGTGTTTGGTCTCATCTTGGGAAGTATATCTTCAGAGTTTATTTGAAACATTCTTTTAATTCTTCCCTTCCCTCAGCTTCCCAGACCACCCATCCTCCTTTCTTTGATTCCTAACCACAAACAGCATTTGCTCCCTAAATGGAAGTGTCAAACATTTAGAAATATTTTCATGAAAAAATAAGTTTGAAATCATCAAATTTTCTCAGTTAATTTTTTCTTGAACAAAACCTTTGTGTTTTTAATTGAATATCTGGGTGTTCTAGTTCAGAATTAGAATTATCTTAATTCAGTGCTTACACTGTGGAACAGGAGTATCTACAGAAGGAATTAATTAGGAGTGAAAGTTTCAATTTCAAGTTTTATTTAGCCTTATCTAATTCTTTGTTATCTAGATAAACCAAGCCTCCACACAGCATTTTTAAAGCAAAATACAATTGTACAATAGTTTGGATTGGAAGGGACCTTAAAGCTCATCTCCTTCAAGCCCCTTGCCATGGGCAGGGATACCTTCCACTAGATCAGGTTGCTCAGAGCCCTTTCAACCTGGCTTTGAACACTTCCAGGGATGGGGCATCCACAGAAACCTCTTGCAGTGCCTTACCCCAGCTCAGGTGCAGAAAGCACTTTTATTTCCACAGGTATTTGCACTGGCTAAACAGATCAGGGCTAAGTCTCCCCTTTTGGAGAGGCACCAAGGACCTCCAGGAAGGAATGTCTGCCTTGTGTGTGTCAGTGTGTAATGCAGCAACGAAGGGTTCAGTGCACAATCGAAGGAAGCAAGCCTGGAGTACCCGAGTAGTGGAAAATTGAGGGTGTCCCAGTTGTTGTCTTTTGCTCTTTCCAACATTCCCCATACAGTCTGTCTCACACACCTGTAGTCACAGAGAGCAGGAAGGGAGAGGGAGTGCCACTCTGGCTAAATGAAATGCTTCCCCTCCTAGCAACCATCATTTTCTCAATGTGTAACTACGGCTTATTTCTGTATGGCCTGGGATACCTCAGCAGCAGAAGTGTGAAATCCTTATGCTTCTTTCCAAATCAGGTGCAGTGAAAGGAATATCCTTTCTTATTTCCCAGCAGCAGTCAGTGCTTTTAGACATCTTTTGTAACTACAGTGATATCCCAGGCTTATGGCCTGCCTGCTCCATGATGGATCAAACCTCTGCAATGACTGACAATTAAAATATTTATTTTTAAAAGGCTTTCTTTTCCAATGTTCTTATGAAAGGCCAGGTGTTGCTGTTTTGGAAGCACCTAGAGCAGTCTGTTGCTGTTGCACTTTCATGTTGACTGAAAGTCTGGCTGCATTTCATATGGCATCATGGATGAAACAGTTACTGCAGACAGTGGCCCTGAAGCTCTGTTCTGGGCTCTGCTTCTCAGGGATAGTCAGATCCACCATCCATGCCTGAAACTTCACACTAAAGGAAAAAAAAAATAAGGGTATTGATCTCATTTGTAAAACACTTTAATCAGCTGAAGAAAACCACTGTGTAAAACTCTGATATTCTTAAATATGATGGAGCTCTTTAATAGGAATAGCATGAGCAAGATGAGGAGTACGTAGTATCTGCTGACAGTTTCCTGTTGTAGTTTTCCCAGTTTTCTTTTAGCTGTGTGTTCCAAAAAAGAAACATACTAAATAGAAGAGATTCAGCTTTTGGAGAGAAGAAAGGATTTGAAGCTCTCTTGCCCAGTGCTCACTGATATGTTTTTCTCAGAATTCTTTAAAGACAGTCAGGGTAATGGTGGAGCTGGTGACAGAATCTGTTTAGACTTCCAACAGTCAAAACCTTTGAGGAGGTCATCTGCAATGATTAACAGTGTTGTACCACAGGAAAATTGGAATGAGGGAGAGATATCCCCATATCCAGAAGCTGGGTAGCTGGAAAGGGTTCATCATGGGATCTGACACCTCAACCCCAATTTCAAAGTGAAGGAGAAAAAAGAGGAAAAAGAAGTTCCTGGACTAGGAGAGGAAATAAAAGCTGATATCCTATCATAACAGATGGGCTATGATGTTCCAGATACCACAAGCCAGGCAGCCATACCAAAAGGCAATAGAGGACCTGGAGGAAATACAGCTTCTGCCCTTTTTACTGAATGATTGAGCAGGGCACGTGGGAGCCCAGCCCATGAGCTGTACATGTGTGCTGGCTGGGGAGAGCATAGGAAGGATCAGTGAGAGACTCAGCAGTTGTTTCACAGAGCAGGGATGCATCTGTTGTCAGTGCTGTGTGATCACTGTGCACTTGCCTGCACTACTCCTCACATTCCTGGTCCACACTAGCAGAGGAACCACAGTGTCACCCTACCTTAAGCAGTATCATGGACAGGCATATCCCTTCCACTGCCTGTGTTACCTGAGGTGCATTTCTGTCCTGACAGAATGGAGATTTCCCTTGTTCCCAGGCAGACCTTCCTGCCTACTACCAATGACTAGGAAGAGCTTCCTTCCATGTGCCTACTTTGTCCCTAAGAGGGCCCTTGATGCACCCCCAAAAAAAGGCATCAAGCTTTGGGGTAGTGTGGGTTTCTAAATTTCCTTCCCTCTTCTCTGTTGCAGCAACACAGATGTTCACACTGTGGCGTCCCTCCTGAAGCTTTACCTTCGAGAGCTGCCAGAGCCTGTCATCCCCTTTGCCAAATACGAAGACTTTCTTTCTTGTGGACAGCTACTCTCAAAAGATGAGGGAGAGGTCAGTGATCCTTCTAATCTGCCTCCTCAGAGGATGTTCCCAAGAATCAATGTAGTACAGTTTTTTTCCTCATCTCTTCAAACTTGATTTAAATTAATGAAGTCCCTGGGAACCTTTCCCTGAATTTTCCTGGAGCTGTGAATGAGGTGCTGTTATCACAGGCTGCTACCTAAAAAAAAAAGTCAGTCCAGTAGCCTGGTGCATCTTTCTTCAGAGCAAAGCTCTTGTGTAGCATAATTGGCAAGAGATGCAAGGTAGGAGGAAATCTGGGTTCCTTTCTCACCTTTGCTGTTCACTCACTAATAAGCTGTATGGAGTCACTCCCTTTGTCTGTGTTTTCCATTTTATATATCAGAACACTATGCTCTCCTTCCCAAAGATTTTAGTGGATGAGACATTGATCAGTGCAATGGTCTTTGTATTTCTTAGAGGAAAGTCATTATGGGAAGGCAGGCTATGATATTATCCTAGAACTAGGGGGAAATAATGCTATGAATACTTTGCCAGAACCTTCTTACAATGCTCTTCTCTTTGGTTTCCAGGCATGGGAAAGGGCTGACAAAAGCTACCAAGTCTGTGGCAGTCATGGAGTAGGATCATTTGCAATGTGTTTGATTGATCTTTTTCATCCATATTGTGGTGCTCCCTTAGCCCTTTGCAGATTGCAAAGGCACATTAGATGTGGTCTGATGTGGGTGCCACCTTCTAGGACAGAAACTTAAAGAGGCTGTTACTTGTGTCTTTCCTTTGCTAAAGAAGCCAAGGCCCGAGGGCTTGTAAGTTGTGGTCCCCAGTTCTGTCCCTTTTCTCTGTGTGGTCTTGTCTTTGTCTCTGGCAGAATTTGTAAAAACTGTTGCTCACTGTGAGTCTAGGGTTCACTTTCAGTTCAAGTAGCAGAAGGCTCTGTGGAGATTGCCCTTTATGATGCCCACAGGAACATGCTTGTTTGCATGCATCAAATGGATCATATGTGGCAATATAAGTTTTTTATGGTTAAAAGGCAAATAAATAATGCAACCTCTGGTCAACTGTGAGAAAGCAAATTTCTATGCATGACACAGCATGTTACCACACGTGGATATGTACTTGCATTCTGAACACAGCCACATCAGGGTGCCAGTGCACTAGTGCTGTATTTTAGTAGGTAGAGGTGTGTGTCTACTCTCTCCAAAACTTGCTCATTTTCTGCCTTGACCTTAGTGAACTCAGGCATCTCTGCAGGGTGCTGTGTTACAGACCCCACAGCGGTTATTTCACAAGAAACTGCAGCATTTCAAAGGCAGTGGAGCTGGTTTGATTTTGGTTGTAAGATGTGCAGACTGGGAAGTTTTGCATCCATTAAGCACTATTGCACAAGAGTAGAGACACTGCCAAATTGGGCAAACATAATTGTACATCACTGCTCAGCTTATTAGCTATGTTGTTTGCCCAATTTTGTCTGCACAGGCTGCAGCAGTTTGGGAAGCAACATCTGCGTGAGCAAGGTCAGACTCAAATGACTTGTAGGGCAGAATTCTCTTTAGATTAGAAAGGCAATGGGGAGCACTAGGTAGCCAAAATGAGCACTTAGAAAGCACAGCACTGCTCATAGCACAGAGTTGTTTTGTTAAGGTGCTGTTGTAAACATAAGCAATTTTGGTATTGTCAGGGAAACCTGGAACCTCAACGTGGGCTGTTTACCTTTCAGAAAGGAAGGTGGAGTGCACACAGCAGGGGTGGAGAGGCTGTACGTGCACAGTAGCACGTGGAGCAGAATGCAGCACAAAGTCATGCCTAGCCTATGGGGCCTGACTCGCCTCCCACGTGGAAAATCCCCCTGCTCACAAACGTGGTTTCAGTGAAACCATGATTTTTAACACGTCATGGTAAGCAGGGAATTTAAAAATCAAACATTTTGTTTTGTAAAGGTATTTTGAAACAACATGTAGTTGTACTGGTTTAATTTGAAGTACTGCTTTCTTTTAATTTTTCACTTGAAAGTTTTGAATGAGACTTTTGGACTCTTAGTATAATTTTTGTTTTGTATGGCCATCCTCACCTCACACCCAAAAAACCAGAATTGCCTACAGCAAAGTAGCCTTTCAGATGAATTTGTGGGACCTCATGCTGCTACACTGGGACTATGGATAGGAGTTTTTTGTGGTGATTATTAGCCTAGCTCCAGTACTGCCCTAAGTTTTTATTCAAATTGCTTTTCATCTTCATTCTGCACCCAGCTGATCTCTGGTGTTTGAATGCAAACAGGGCTGTAACAGGCCTTGGGTGGTGCTGAGGTCTCCAGGTATTTCAGCAAGATTGCAGCATTAGAAAAGATTTGATTCTGATCCAAACTGACTGGGAGGAGGGTTTGAAAATTAAGAGCAAGAGGGATCTTCAAAAGCCTAAAAAGTCATTTGAGTCTGAGCTGCCTTTACATGGTGGCATTGTAGCCTTCCCAGCTACCTGTACACTAGAGATGCAAACAACACTTCAGTGGATTGAACACAGGTATTCAAGTTTTTTTTAAAGAGGCATCTGAATTTTTATGAACATTTAAAGTGTTGCTAGTTTTCCAGCCAAATTAGAAGCTCTGAATTGGTGCTGATCTGTTACACGCATTTCAAAATCCTTGGGTTTGGGATCATTCATTGGAAAGCAGCATTTTCAAGGAGGTAAGAGTTATTTCTGCAAAATCCCACGATAAATAACAGTACAGTGCTTCCATTGCTTGCTGGGCTGCAGACATTGGCAGTGACCAGTGCTGTTTGTCTCTACAGGAGTTTCAAGTTTGTGTTTTCCACTGTGCTGTCACTGTGGTGTTCCTAGGCTAAGCCTCTGCCTTCTGTTGGTCAGGCCTTGGAAAGGACCAATCTGGCAGAGCTGATACATGCTGCAGTAGGGAGAGAGAGCTTTTCTTACCTGTCAGGTGTTTGTACTTTGATGAATATAAAGATACTCTCTGTGTAATCCCGTGCCTGAGATTCCTTGTGACAAAGCATTGATTGTAAATTCTTAGAATAATTTTTTCTTTCAGGTAGCATCTTTTACCTTTAGGTCATGTTTCCTGCTGTTCACAGCTGCCTAAGTTTCTGTTTCAAAGTTTTCTCTTACATCCAGTAGAGCCAATGGCATTTTAATTCAGAGCACTTGAAATACAGTGCCAAATACCATCCTGATTTCCCTATTTGAAATAAATTGGGTTACAGAGCAAAATTCAAGAGGAATTAGGCCTGTTAGCTCACCTAGTTCTGGTTCAAACTTGCCACTTGAAAGTTGATTGACCTTAACAACTGACCTTAACTTTCACATCAGTAGCAGCTATCTTTGGCTGAAAAATTTTTAGAAGTTGAGAAAAGAGGATTGAGATTTTCAGAAGAGACTGGACTTTTAATGGTGTCTCCATTGCTGTCACCATTAAACAAGCATAGTGTTTAAGCTAAGGAATTATAAAGTGGTTACTGCTTTTAAGAATTTTAAGTTTCAGGTTTTTATTAGAGAATTATTTTTTTTGTGCTGGGATGTACAGAATAAAAAAGTACCTGTATATTTAAGGTAATAAGGACGAAGGCAGGACTAGGCGCTGCTCTATGGATCCTTCTGACTTGTCTGGACCAGAGAAATCAGGAATACATTGCAAGAGTTTGGCCAACAGAATTCCCTTCCTAACAGTTCTTAAAAATTCAAGGGGAGTTTGAAATAATTGTTCAGCTGCACTTTTTTGGAACCATTTCCTTCTGGAATTTATCCATCATAAGTTCGCAGCTATCACTCTTCCTTAAATGTGCTTTGGTATCTGTTTTTCCACAAAAGGTTTCATTGTGTCCAAAAATAAGCAAATCTCCAGGGCAACAGCAGCATTGAGGAACAAGCAAATGATACTTGGGATTGTGGCAGGACAATAACCTCCTGAGTCAGAGGTTTTCATTAGATGATTTAAGTAGCTTCAGGGGTTTAAGTCATTCCTTCAACTGATGTGTCATCTTACATTTTAATGTAAAGAATGTAAAGACAGAAATTTTGTGAGGAAGTATGTCCCAGGTCAGAATGACTGCAAATGGAAGTATGTCATTAATTAGGAGGCAGCTAAATTGGACTCATTTAGCTTTTTCAAGAAAAAACTTTCCTCTGCTCAACTGAGCATTACTGCAATGTATTTATACTGCACTCAGTGCCTCTGAGTTTCAGAAAGGCAAAGGCACATCTGCTGGTACCAGTGCCAGGCAGGCTTTAAAGGCCGGCAGGCCTCACTAAATGAAGAGTTCTCTCTCAACCATTAAAGTTCACAGGAGGATTTCCACTGAGAACTGAATAGAGTTCTGGACATTGGGGTTTTGGTAAGGCACAACACACTGGATGCCACCTCTTCTAAAGGAAAGCCTTTGTGTTATCCTCTGTTTTCAGCATTTGGCTGTGGAACGAGGACTTTGTAGTCCTAAAGGAAGGTCACGTCTACTTTGTTTACATTAATAGCTCTGCTTCTTGTTTTTCCTGTCCCTCAGGGTACCCAGGAACTGGTTAAACAGGTGAAGAATTTGCCCCAAGCCAACTATAACCTCCTCAAATACATATGCAAGTAAGTGAAATTAATTAACACTTGGAAAAGTCTCTAAGTTTTGTGAGGCTGTCTTATATGCAAATAATATACTCTGAAAGTATGAATATTCAAAAACTACCACTTAAGTGTAAGTTACAACTCCTTTAAAAATGTGGAGGTGAATGCAGCCTGCCTGAAGGAAGCTCTTGGTTTATCCAAGAGGATCAGCCAAGCAAATTGCTGCCACCTGCAGCCTTGGCAGCATGCATGAATGATACTAATACATTATATTGTTTATTTCAGAAGCACCTACAGATCACTAAAGGTAGACACTTATTCCAGATACTGCACACTTGGAAGATTATGACACAAGCTGAGTAGCAGCTGCAGTCAGAATAGCCAGTCTGGCATTTGCTCTGGTTTGGAAGTGGGGTTAGTAGTGGCTTCCTCTTGGATTCCCAGGGACCCCACAGCCTTGTCTCCTCTCATCTCTGCTGATTTTCCCAGTTTTTGGGCTGCCTCTTTATCTGGGGATTGGAAGGAGATGATTTTTGAAGACTACTTCCAACTCCAACCATTCTATGGTTCTGTGATCTGTATTTTGTTAGATTCAAGCCAAGCCACTAAGTTCTTTCCACAGGCTGGTAGTTCTTGGACAAGGAGATGACTTATTACTTCTGTTATATCTGTAAATGGAAATGTGCCAAAGTCAACCCATGTAAATTGAGAATTTCCATAAAAATGCAAAAATCTATCCTTTCAGGCCCAGTAGTAGGCTGGGTCACTGCTAGGTGGGTACTTCTGGCAGAAGACATCCTCTTTTCTCTGGTTCATACAGTGGGAGAGATCTGGGGTTACACTGAATATCTAAGCTACAGTAGTTCCTCAAATCATTTCAGGTGTCAGGGTTGTATGAAAACAGGACAAAACTCAATGCTTTTAGTCTGAAAAGTGACTTATGAATTCCCTCTTCCTTTTATTTTTCTGGGGGTTTTTTCAAGGTTCCTTGATGAAGTTCAGGCTCATTCCAGCATTAACAAAATGAGTGTCCAGAACCTGGCTACAGTATTTGGACCAAACATTCTGCGGCCCAAAATGGAGGATCCAGTGACCATGATGGAAGGTAGGTGCTGTTCTGGGGGATGGCACAGCAGCTGTATTTTGGAGCTGCAAGTGAAAGGCATACATTCCTTGGTAGCTGTATCAGTTTCCTGCACAGTCAGAACAAGTCAAGCCATCCCTTTCATCAGGGCCTGTGAGGGGTGTTCCAGTTGGCATCTTATCCTACTCACCACTGGACTGGGAGTGTCTCTCCTCTCCACCATGAGGAGATGCCTCCACACCCCTGAAACTCTTTCTGAGCCTATTGCTAAAATGAAAGCTCAGCTGTTTTTTCAGAAGGACTGTGCTTAAGTACCAAACTGCAGTAATTTAGTATTGGTGCATTTCAGTGCTCCCTGTAGAGAGCATCCAGGCCATGAGCAGAGGGCTGTAGTTCTGGCTGTGCCACAGTGGCTACAACTAGAAGTGTCTTAGAAGTGTTGTCTTCTAAGGAGACTATATGGATCAAAACTTCACAGAATCAAAAATAAAAGAGCTGAAAATCAGTTAATTTTGGATGTAAAAAAATCTGAAGCTTTAAAATTATTTGCTTCCATACAAATCAAGCAGGCTGACATTAGGTCTGGGATACAAGTCTTCTCCCAGGTTCCACTGAAACACGACTACTGCAGTGCAAGTTTTAGCAAGGTTTTTGCATAAAGTTTTGTAGGATTTTGGCAAGCCTGCAAAAAGAATTGATTAATTAATTAGGCACAGATGGAGATGCTGTGCCCAAGATGCCTGAACTTGGCTCTGGTTCTGCTCCCTAGCTGTAGAGGACAGCTGACATGGTATTTTGTGTGATGCAAAATTTTTACAGAAGGTCAGTGTTGTCATGCCTTAGCAGCAGCAGTGCCTTTAGCTCTTCACAGGTCATGTGCAGATGTGTCTCCCACGACGGCAACTCACTGTAAGGCAGCAGGACAACTTCAGAGCATGACCTGACGTATTATAGTAGTTCAGGGACTCGAAGCCTACCACAGAGATGTGGGCCATATTATTAAGGGTACATTTGATACCTTTCCCTGGCTGTGCAGAAGGTGCAAATATCGGGGAGGAGCAGGGAGTGCGGGAGCAGTGCTCGTTGTTCACCGGTGAAGGTGGGGACAGCTGTGAGCAGCCTGTGTGCGATGCTGGGACTTCCCCTAGTGGCCACGGGGCCAGCGCTGGTACGGCTCTCACAGCCCTGGCAGCAGCTGCGCCCTGCTCAGCTGGCACAGGGAACGAGTCTGGCTCAGATCAGCTCAGGCATTGCGTTCTGCAGCTCATCCGATGGCACAGGTGCCTGTACTGTGTGTAGGTGCACGTGTGCAGGTGCTGGGGTCCCTCCTCATCATGGTATCACACTACAGTGATCTGACCCGGAATTCTGTATTGTCACAGGTCTGAACGGTAAAAAAATTGGGATATGTAGGCTGGATTTTTAGACTTAATAATTATAGCAGGATGTTTATTTTTTAGTTGAGAATTTAGTTGAGGTTGGTTAGATAAAAGTAACAGAGAAGTGGAAAGACTCTTTTTTTTTTTTTTTTAGCTTCAGGGTAGTCTGAGTCTCCTAAATAAACTGATAATGAGATCTTAACAAAAAGCACTCTAATTGTGTCTCTCTTCAAATTTAACCCATGCATTTCAAATAGAAATACCTGAAGTTTGACAGCTAAATAGTTAGGAATGCCCTTATCTTCAAGACATTTAGTTCTCTTCCTGCATTCACAGACATAAAATAGAAGCAGTAGGTGAGCTATATACATCTTACTATTAGGTCAAAAACTCATCAATAAAATCAAGCTCTTCCCTTGAACCCTGAGCATGTTTGCCTTATTCTCTTTCAGGCAATACTTAAAAATAGAATTGCTTACTCACCCTTCTAAAGGTTTTCCTCTTTTGTAGGAAGTGATTTATATTAGGTTAGGTAAGTGGTGTTCTCTATTAGTTCATAATGGTCTGCTCCACTTCTGGAAGACAGTGGCAGCACATTTCTGTGGATTTAAATAACTGCGAGCACTTTCAGTACTTGCTGTACACCCCCTGCAAGTGCATATATAATGCAGATGTCATACTTCCTGCAAGTTTCTCTACACACTGAGTACAGCCTGAGCTTAAATTTGTAGTTTTTCAATAAGAATAGTTCTGGGCCTGCTCAGACCAAGAGACTGGGTGCAGCCTAGTCATGCAAACAGGCTGGGGTGAGTCGCAGAGGTCTTTCATGTCTCCTCACCTCCTTGCCTTTGTTTTCCATCCACAGGCACGTCTCTGGTTCAGCACCTGATGACAGTGCTGATCAGTGAGCAGGGGCGGATCTTTGCTGTTCCTCAGGCGGATGTGCCAGGGAGCCAGCTGGAGATCAAACCAATGCGCCAGCGCAGCACTGTCGAGTGGATCTCCGAGGAGGACGGGGAGGACAGCAGGTCACAGAACAGCGCTGCCAGCCCCACTGATTTGCCTTCTGGCAATGCTGTGGCTCTGGAGGCCACTCCAGGACCTGCAGTGAAAATTACTCCTCCAGAGCAGAGTGGCAAATCGGCCCAGCCTGCCACGAGCCCCAGTAAAAGAGTGCAGACGCTGCCTCCGTGGAAATATTCCTTCCGCCAGCAGGGAGCACGGTCTGTGAGCCCAAAGCTGGGCAGCTCATCCTTAGACATCCCCAACCTCTCCTCCAGCGGGAACTGGTTGATGAACGGCCTGTACTCCCTGCGAGGCCATCGCCGGACAGCCTCTGGGGAACGAGTGAAAGACTCGTGTTCCTCCCAGAGACTCTCCACTTATGACAATGTCCCCTCATCCAGCCTGTCCCTCAGCACACACAGCATGGCCAGCACCACCTGGTCCACATCATCCTGTGAGATCTCTGTGATGGACTCGGTGAGCAGCTGCCCAGCCTGCCGGGCCAGTGACTCTTCTGCTTTGAGCTCCCTAAAAACAGAGTGGGTAACTCAGGGCTCGCTGTCCCAGAGCGAGGGCAAGACTGCAGATCTGGAGAACAGCATGGACAGGTTTGAAGCCTGCAGCAGCAGCAGCAGTGAACAGAGTGACCTGGCTGCAGCTTCCCGAGACTCTGTCCAGTGCTCCAGGGCCTTACAGAGCTTGGTGGTGGAGCTAAAGACAGAGCTGAGCAAACAGAGGACTGAATATGAGACTAGTATCAAAAGGTAATGTCATTTGCAGGGGGCAAAAGGAAGTAATCTGTCAACATTTTCCCCTGTCTGAACATGGGTGTGGGCTGCCAAGGGTACCAGGTCTCAGCCCTGAAGTTTGGGGTTGGGTGACAGCAGATTTGTTTCTACATTTTCCTTGCTACTCTCTGAATCCAATTTTTCTTTCTCTGATTTGAGAGAGCATCAAGAAGAAAACAAAGGGGACACAGGGAAATCCAATGCTTCATATTCTGTGTGTTCACTGTAAATGAGAGTTGCACAGGTAATGCCAAAGTCTGCTCTCAGTGTCAGAGAAATAGCAAAGCAAACATCTTGTAGGGAGGAATTGGGACCCAGGATGGTCAGGCCTCAACAAGCATAATCTCTGCAGGTGTGGATACTTGCACCAGACCAGTCTGAAACTGAGGGCTTCTTGTTCTTTTCCCAACACCAGCATTATTGAGGAAACTGCTCTTGATTATTTTCCACAGGTTTTTTTTTGGGGGTGGTAGTTTTGGGACTCTATCTAAGATACAATGTTTTCAGCAGCCTTTTTGTGTTGAACTTCTAGAAATCTCACTTTTGGTATCTGATGTAGAAGAGTGGTCCTTGGCTGACGGGGCAGCCTAGCTTGGAGGAGCAGCATGAACCATGTCATTTGCCACCTGGTGTTTCCTTGCACAACTGCTGCTGCTGTACTTTCCATCTGAGCTCAGAAAAATTTATTTCAGCTTTCAGGAGAGCTGTGTGTAGGGCTGGGGCTGTAGGAAGTATTAACAACAAGGGAGTCATTAATTTGTGTGAGTATGTTAGGTTTTATGAGTGTATGTGATAATAGAAAGACTTTTAGGAAAGCATTCAGGGGAAATAGGCACACGAAATATTGGTGCTTAAAGGAATTAGATATATTTTAATATACAGCCATGTGCAAAATTGCACACCATATTGTAATACATGCTGCTCTGAAGCACCAGTACTCTGCACTGAAGAAGGGCTGTAGTCCCATTTCTTACAAAGAGTTGAGTTCTCAGGGTTTAGGGTTTTTTAGTTTTAAGGTGTTACTGTTATACTCCTTCAATTATTAAAACTCAGATTGGAAATTGAGGTATGAAAATGCTGCCAGTCTCTCAAACATGGTGCAAAAGCATGTAAGACTGTTGGGATTGTGTAGCACAGCTTTAGGCTGCGTTTTTTGGCACTTATTTCTTGTTAAGGTAGATTCTCAAAAATGTATCTGAACTGTGATCTCTTCCCATGGGCCAGTTGTTAAGGCAGGAATTCCTCTTGCTATCTTCCGGCTTTATTTTATGATTTCCTCTGGTGGTGGCTTGCCAGCCTCTGCTGCGTTTCTGCCTCTTGCACTGTGCTACCTTGGTGTGTGGAGCTGGAAGGAGAATCCAGCTGTGCAGCAGTTCCAGTTCCCACCTAACATCCCCAAGTGGGAGAAAAGCCCCACCTGTTGTGTTCGAGGTGTAAGAGCTCATGAAACACCAGCAGCTGCTAGCATGGGATGTTGGGAAGGGTCTGTGAATGAGGGTTGGAAGTTCATGACTTACATGGTTTGTTTTTTTTGATGGCCTACTGATACAGAATGGGAGGAGGCAAGGGTTATGTCTTACTTTTAATTGTGCAGAGCTGCCCTGGCAAGCCTTGTTGCAGGGATACAGGTTAATAAACAGAAATACCAGGCTGCAGAACCTGGAAATGTGTAGCTGCACATTTCTTGCCTGCTGCCTGGGGGAAGAGATGGTTTTCCACCTTTTATCAGTAAAACTGTTCCAATAGGGCCTTAAGGTGCTGACATCAGGAGCATCCAGGAAGATCTGTTCTCCATTCCAGCTGTTGAGCTGCTTCAGCTCCAACACCTGCCTTTCCCCTGCAGCTGGACAGGACAGAGAGCACTATGGCTCCAGGGGAGGACTCTAAATTGGCCAGGTCTCACGGAGCAAAGTAGCTGAGAGGAAAATGCTTAATGAACTAAAGAGTTTCATAAAACCTGGCAAGGTGCAATCACTGCCTTTCTGTATTAAACAGGATGACTCCAGCTGTTTGGGCCTACAGCCTGAAGGATTGTGCTGTCAAGTCTAAGAATTTCAAGCCAAGTTTTTCAGCTTTCAAAAATTTTGCAATGTTTTTACTACATCTGCAGCAATTTATAGGTGCAAAAGTATGTTCCTTTTCAGACTGCATGGAAGTCTGCTACTATGGAAAGACAGGAGCTAACTAGCAAAGTAGGGAGCTGCTTAGCACAAAAGATTTAGGCTGCCACACCAGCTTTATTTTATTGAAGATAATTTAGTCCCCTGAAATTGTACATGTGCTTGTGTGGTTTGCAGAACCGTGTGTATCTAGCAGGACATATTTTAATGAAAGAATATGAGCTTTTTTCTTGGCACGTACGTAAGTGAAGGGAAAGCAGAGTGAGTACCTGCCTGGGGCAGAGGTAAGGAACACTTGCTGATGGAAAAGCTGTTATTTCTCATCAACTGCCCATTTTCTCTCTCTTAGTCAGAGGGAGGCAAGTTTTATTGCCTTCCTGTAACCACTCTGTTCCCAAGCATTTCTCCCTCAAGGCTAGTGTAATTACCAGACATTCTCTGTTGAGTTTCAGTAATTCATGTTTACCACCTGGCACTCTTAAGAAAGTGTAAGCACTGGGAGAGGACTGTTATGAATGTAGCAATGCTGTAAGCACTGTGACCCTGTGTAATTCAGTCCTGAGTTAGCAGTGCAGGCTGCTGTAGTTGACCCCTGAACTTAAGAGGTAGAAAATGTAATTGGCAGCTCAGAGCTGTTACGTGTGTGTGGGGCAGCATCCCACCTTCAGAAGTGTCATATTCCAGCTGACACTGGCTGGACATAAAGGTCTGCCTTCATCCACAGGGGCTGCTTTTTGCTGGACTTGGTGCAGGTTAGGGCACCTGTGACTTTGAATAATTGTGAAAACTGTGACAATAATCAAACTGCCATCTTTAGCTGTATGTAAGGGAACAGAAAGGAAAAGTTTAAGGTGCTGCATTGCCTCTTGGTCATGAAGTGGAATTCAGACCCTTCTGGGACTGCCCAAGGCCCTCTTTTTTTTCATTTTTGTTTTGTTATGAGGCAGTGGTGTGGCCTTCTTGATAGTCAGTTCCCTGTACTAAAAATAACCTGTTCACAGTTCCACTGGGATGCCACACCCCAGCTTCAAAGTTGAGTATTGGACTGATCAAGGAGAGGTGGCGGTGGTTTTGTGTTGGAAATTATTTTTAAAGGTTGTATTTATTTTATTTAAAGGAGGGGCATCTTTCATTGTAAAAGTCTCATTTTTAAATTCATATTCTAGTAATCAGTAATTCCTATCTGAAATATTCCTTCCTCAGTATTAATGTCTTGTGACTGGGAAACACAAGGGGGAGAACAGCAAGTGCTGTGCCTTCTGTGCTTCTTTGAAATCACAAAACCATGAACTTTGTTCTTTGACCTCCTGAGTGAAAAGCTCTGAATTTTGCTATAGAACTTTGTACCCAGATACATTTAAGAACTATTCTTTTGATTCTTTCTCATATGAAAGACTGGGTTTCATAAAATCTCATACCCCACCCCCATGTCAGTGATAAACTTCACAGAGAATATCATCAAATGGCTGGTGAGGAAGGACTGTGACCTCGTTCCTATCTGATCCCTAAGGATGTTCCTCTGTATGGGATATCCATATAGGGAAACACAGTATCCCTATATGGATAAAGATTATTTTAGGATTATATACTGGAACTCTGCCTAAGTAAGGAGTTAAGGAGTTAATCAATCTCCTCAGGCAGGCAGTCCAGTGCTGAAAAGTAGGCATTGTTTTCTAAGATTTGAGCATTTTTCTCAAGATGCAAATAAAGGAAGCTCTGCCCTAAATTAAACAGTACTGAAATAGCATTTATTCTCTCCTTTAAAACTTCCTCTTAGAATATGTTAAATTTAAGTTGTTCCTCTTAGTTTTTTTATAGTTATCAGCAGTATTTATCCAGTCACTTTAAAAAGCCTTTTTCTTTTATTTTCTGTTGGTTTTAAGAATTGAAGAAACAAGTGCAGACCTGAGGAACCAAGTGGTTAGGTTAGAAGAAGAACTGGACCAAGAACGGAAGAAATACACGATGCTGGAGATAAAGCTGAGGAATTCTGAACGCGCTCGTGAAGATGCTGAGAAGAGAAATTACCTCCTGCAGAAGGAAATGGAAGAATTTTTTTCAACATTAGGATGTTTAACTGTTGGGAGTCAAAGTGCTAAAGTCCCCAAGTAGAACAAGTATAGAAAATCCTGTTCCTGACAACATGAGTGAAAATGCATATTTTGTTCTGGTATACTCATGTATCATGAGTAATGCTATAGTGATTGTGCTCTCAGTGACACTTGCCCTGTTGTCTTTACATGTGCTATAGTATTTGGGCCAGCTGGGAAAGACTGCTGACCATAATGCTTGAAAATTTAGTGTCAGATTGCCAAGAAAGAGTGGGTCCCCTCTGTATCCACAGAACAATAATACACTCTTCTCCAGAGTGTCCTGCTGCCATCTTTGGACTCAGCTGCACCATCCTTTTGCTGGCTCAAGGACAGCGGAAGGTCCTGCAGAGTGGGAGGATGGCCAGAACCAACAGACTGAGCCTGGAGCTGAGGGATTCCCACACATTGTGCTTGGGAAGGTGGCAGTTCCAGCCTGTCACCACATCCAGGACGTTTGCCAGATGGATTTAATGAGGTGGCTTTTGCCCCACCCCCTCCATAAAGTTTGTTCAAATTTCTCATTCTTAGAGTGGTATTTTATGAAGATATTGTGAAAACAAGGTCTGCAAACATGCTGAAGATACCAAAATCTTGACAATTCACTAAAATTGTCCCTTACCCACCTAATGGTTTCAGTGTTTCACAAAAAAACAGCTTTAAATTAAACTGTGATTAATAATGAGATTGGCTACATAAACTCTTTGGAACTTTAAATATGCACATTTTGCCTTAGGTATTTGAAGGTTTTCTGAGCCAAAAATAGAGCAGTATTAGCTGCAATAAAAAAAATATCCCAAGATGATATATGTATTAAGGCAGAAGATGGAAGATCCTTATCATCAAAACACTTCCAAACTTTAATAGCAAAACTTATGGTAAGAGAAATTAGTGCAATTGGGGTGGGGGTGGTCAGGGTGGTAAAGGGGGGAGGGTGTGGATCTATCCTTAACCTTTCCTGCACAATGTACACTTAACCTCCCTTGTAACATTTCTCCTTACACCAGCTGATATTTTTGTTGTTAGTTCTTACAGGGATATGAGGGGACAGGAAGAATACTGCAAACAACCCATCATCCCAAGTTCCTTGCTTCTGCTAAGGAAAGATCATTAGAACGAAGCTGTAAGTTCTGGTAATTTGCTGCTGGGCTGACTTCCCTTCCAAGTGATTTCAAGAAGTTCTGCATAGCATTTGTAACACCCTGAGCCATGCAGACCCTGCACACAGAAATTTGTTTCACCACATTCAGCTTGAATTTCACCTGCAAGCCCAGCACTGTTCACTTTGTCTTGGCACTCCATCTTTGACATCCTGAGGTAGCTTGGGAGACTCTAAGGAGAAAGAATTGTAACAAAAAGAGCCACAACATGAACTGGCTAAAGGGAAAGTATGGACTTTTCAAGTAACGAAGAAGATTGCTTTATTTTAAGTATTTTGAAAAAGTGCCCTGAATCTCATTCCTTACTAGAGAAGACTATGACTCACTGTCTGGAAATAACCTTAGAATGGGTTTTTACATATCAGGAAATAGTCAATACTGAAAGATATACTTTCTCCTCAGCATCTCACAGATATCCAGGTATTTCAATATTTAAAACATCTAGGTATTAACTTGTTTCTACTGCACTGTAACACTTCTCCTTATTATAGAAATGTAAAAAATGTAAACCATTTAAAGTGAGCAAAAAGCAGAATTTTAACCTAATCCTTCCTGGATAAGAAATGTCAAGCAAGGTGATACAGTAAATCATGTGGATTGGTTCACTCAGTTATTTCAAAACCTTTTTCCTACTTCCCAGGCTCTCCAGCTGCCCTGCATTCCTTACTGCCCCAGCATGAGGCAGGTACCTGCATGTTCAGCAGCAGCTGCCTGCCACCTGCAGGCATGAGCATCATCCCCATTTTTTTTTCCCACCTCTGCCTTGAATTCATTACCAATGGTCACAAGTTATCCTTTAAGGAATAAGATGGCCATTTAGAACAGCAGCATAATCAGATGCATAATGTGAGAGAGAAGCAGTAACAGTGACTGAGCTGGAAAAGCAAGCAGTGTGGCAGGGAGCTGGGGGTATGAGGTCAGTCATCACAAAATAAACCTTAATATTGGAGGGTGGTCTAATGGTTGTAAGAAGAACACCAGGACTGATAGAAAGCAACATTCAATCCCATTCAGTACTAGTAGCAAGCAGGGTATTTTGATGTCTTTTTTTATTTCTACCCAAATCATAGAAGCCTCGACAGCCCACACCTCCCTTACACTAGTTATATTGCATTATCTCCTGTATGTATCCAGTGCAGACTGCTCCCTTTAGTTCACACAACAAACTCAAGAGATTTTACCAGCAGTCCTGGTCCCTGGTTGTCTGGTGTTTAGTCTCCCAGTCAGCAGGGCTCAGTTCTTAAGTATTTATCCTTAGGTAACTGCTAAAAAACCCACCTATCCCAAACTTGCAGATCCAGGATAGGATCATGAGATCTGTAACACTGCATAATGTGGTACCCAAAATAAAATTAAGAATTTTTAATATACAAAGAAACTCTATGCACTCAAAATGAGGAGTGAAACAAACCAGTTCCAGACTGACTGTTGTGCTCGGGTAACATCTATGGCTCCTGTTCATGAGGAATAAATTTCAGCTGCTTCTGAAGATGAGCCACTGCAGTAAATAAACCTTGCAAGAAGATGCAAACAACCCAGTTCACACTAACATGCACTACAGTGGGATATTAACCTCAAGTGCAGCAACAGGACCATAATGCTAAATTCCTGACATGGGCAATTATGCAAGAAATGAGATCCACTTGTACACAGCTTTGAAGAACACTATGCCTTTATGTGAGGAAGATGATAAACCTTTTCCTACCTTTCCTGTTTCCATACTCTTCTCCACCAATGCATTTGCCCACAGCAAGCACTGGAGACTACTCCTTATTTTGCAGACACTTCACTTGTAACAGTCTCTGATTCAAATGTCAGCTTTCTTAGCAAGTGTTTGTCTGGTTATTGTTAATTGAACATGACAGAAGGTTACTGGAATACATAAATTTTTACCACAGATTCACCTGTGCCATCCTCCCAGCCTGGAATATCCTTTCCAGTATTATGCAGGCCAAAAAGACAAAACAGTAAAAACTTTTCAGTGAAAAAAACCCCAACATATGCTTTAAAAAAAAGCAAAACAGCAACACTTCAGAATAACGAAGAAAACTTCCATAGATCGTGGCATTTCTAACACAAAAAGGAACATGAATTAATAGCTTAATGACTCATCTACATTCACAAGAGAATTCCACTGAAGGCAGCAGCATTATGGAGTGTTTCACTCCTGAGCCACCAGACAAATCCTGGGCAGAGCAACAGCTCTCCCTGGCCTTGCTCTGTAATAGCATTATCATGAGAAACTGGTTGCACTTTATGCTGATATATGCAAATAAAGAAGAAGATTTCTGAGTCCCCCACCACATTCCTAGAAAAGCATCCCACAAATTGGTGGCCCAAATAAACAAAACTGCCTGCACTGTGGTCGCAGTCCCTTTCCCTTGAAACTGGACACAAAGGCACCACCAGCACAGCTCAAGGGCAGCTGCAGTTGTTAAGGAAGCACTGAAATCCTGCTGGAAGTGACTTTTGTTGGGGCTTACCTGTGGGAGAAGTGCCAGTGCAGTGGGTGCTCCAGGCATCCAAGTCAGCTCTCCAGAAGTCAGATCATTCAGGCCTCTACAAGATGCAGTGTTGAGAGATCCTCCCTTACACCAGGCAGCCCAAGGCTTACCTCTTTCAGCAGCACAGGCTCTCAGCAGCTGTATATTTCCAGGAATTGAGGTGGCTGCAGCTGGCAGCAAGGAAGCGAGAACGGATTCCCACTGGTCACAAAGACCATGCATGTTGTTAGCAGTCTGTGGCACATCCAAAGTCCATGGGAATGAAGAAATGGAAAAAACACATCACTTTGCCCACAAGTGAGCTCACAAACAAGACAGGATAGTACCATTAAAAACCAGATGAATTCTCAGGAAGGACTCTTGCTAATAAGATTACAAGTGCAGGCCATTACGGAATCCACATGAAGTCCATCGCAGCCTGGCAATGAAGAAACATTAAATGCATGGTGGTCAAACTTTTTTTTTTTCTTTTTTATTTAAAATATCATTATAACCAACTGACATACTAGATAACAATGTATACATTCCAGTGGTGCACATGTAATGACCTATGGCATGAATGAGTTAAAAAAACCCCACAATGTTCTCAGTAATGCCCACCAACAGCTTATTTGGAGGGAATAAAAGAAAAGCAGAAAAAGGTATCAAATGTGGGGAAGAAAAAAAAATTAGTTTTCCCCAGTATTTTTAATGGTGTATCTTCCCTTTGTACTTCTTGGGACATAATAAAATTAAGAACATACTTCAAGGGCAGAAGGAATGATCACGGTAATTGGGGTGGGATTTTTTCTCAACTTTAGTAATAAAAGTTAAAGAACTCTCAAAAATAGACTAGATATTGGGCCTACAAAAGTAATTCATCTGTATGCAAAGCTTACCAAGAATTATTCCTTTTGTAAAATGTAAAGGATGAGCTGACATTACTAGTAAGCTATTTTTACCCTACAAAACCAGACTACAATAATAAAATCACCAATTTACAGCTAACACAATTATCTAGATGTACATTACTGTACACAGGCTATATATATATTACACATGAACATCTTACGTGAAATAGATAAGAAACATACTGATATTGTCTCAACATTGGCCAATAGGTTTGTTTTTCTAAAGGAGGTGTATTTTCTATTCACATTCAGTGTAGTTCCAATAGCAAGGGTTAGCTTTGCTTACTTAAGAAACGTAGAAAGTTTGTGTGAGGTAGTTCAAGAAAACCTAGCTTAAATTTTGAACTGCAGAAATAGAAACACAATGTGATCTGATTTGTAACACATTTCTGTAACACAGACGTACAAAGAAAAGGGAGTGAGAGAGACCACTTAAAATACTATCATCCAGTGCCCTTAACTAAGAATATATTAAATTAATTGAAAATTTGGGTGGGCAGTAGAGTCTTATCACACGCTTCAATAAAAACATCTTTCTAACTCTGCTGAAAAATACAGACAGGCTCTCCTTCAACTGCTCCAAACCACTGAGAGGAAAATAAAATGTAACAGTATGGACAAGTTGCTGCCAAAAGCAAATAAAAACAGATCTAGAAACTGCAATTCACTCCCTTCAGCAACTTGAAAAAGCAAGACCAAGTATAAGCTGAACCTTCTTCTCCACTTTTGCCCATGATCTTTATCAAAAAACATTTACTGTCATACTCTTCAGATTATTGGCTGGGTAGGACCATCCTCCTGTAGGAGGTTTTTGACATTTTCCTTCATGCACTGCTGAGCTGAATGCTCCATCCATCCATCCATCCCCTACAGAGCCCTGGCCCCGGGAAGAAGGGCCCTACTGGCACAGCTGGTGCTGGGGACACAGGACACTCCCACCACACCACTGGTGCTGATGCTATGTCCACCTGGAATTCCTGCCCAGAAAGATGTTGCTGCATCTCATATAGTAAAAGTTCTTCAAAGCTAAAGGCCCAAGCTTGGCCAGGGCAAAGTGCCACATCTGCTCAGCTGAGCACTGACCCAGGGCTGAGCATGTTCCACTTCCAAGCACAGGGAGTTGTGCTTGGGCAGCACAGCTGCTCACACACACCAACACATCAGCTCTGAGCCACTGGCTTGCACCAACAAACAACTGCCCAGCACAGCATCCCAGTACTCTCTAAGGGTACTAATTCCCCCTACCCCATCTCTATTTCAAGTTCTTGAACAACCTACTTCTACAGAAGGAGAGAGCTGCTTTACCCTTGCTGCATGCCACAGCTTTGCCCAGAGAAGGCAGACATCAATCTTGCTATTACTGCCCAACTTTGAACCTCACCTGAGGTAAGGGATAGACAGCTTATGGTAATTCAATCCATATCAACTCCCAGTGGATTGGAATGGCCTTAGAAAGTTGCATGCACTTTAGTGAAGCCTGTTGTCTTGAGAAGATTCCAAATCAAACTCTAAAATAAAACTTAACAATACTTTAAAATTGTACAGTGTATTGTATAGCATATAATCTAACAACAGACAAACACAGCTGAATTCCAGTTACCCATTTGTTTGTAATCTGTGGCAGTGTATACCTATCTGAAAAAAAGTTTATATTTCAACAAATAAAAAGGGAAGTTAAGACTAGGATGCTGTTGTGATAATTTGATTACTGAATATGATTTTGTCTTTGCAATTTGCCATCACTTTAATTTGCCTAAAATGCGAGCAACTGAAAAAAATAAAAAGCAACACTCCTGTGAAGATGGTGCCAAAAGTGAACTCTTGCCACAGGCAAAGCCCTGACCCTACTGAAGCAATACCTTTAAGCACAGCTGGCTCACACATTGCAACAAGCTGCAGTGGGCAGTTCCACACATTCACTAACCTTGCCTTGAAAGAAGAAAAGCTCAGTTCTCCTTAGCACTTATCAGTAGTTCAGTTACTACATAGTTCAGACACTGGAAAGCAATAGCAAAAAGTATTTTTAAGTTTCAAAATATTTCAGTCATCACTGCAATCCAGTGGGTTTCTATAATAAATTTAAATAGGAACTGTATTTACCAATTTATTTTTAACAGCACTGAGAGGCATCAGAAGTTACTTTTGTCAGTTTTAACTTCATTACACTGTGCAGACCACACTATCACTTGACCCTATAAAACAATGGAGTACTTTCGTTTGACCAAAATTTTTGGCTTAATTCACAGCTTAAACTTTGATAAAAAATTTACAGAATAGACTGTTCCATTGGTCTCTGTTCAACATTTTCTACATTCCAGTGCTAGATGAATCCAAACTTGTCCTGCCTGTTCTGAGGTAATATACAATTTGGCAGGATCCTGCAAAAATAATTGCCTTAACAAATGTGGCTTAGGAAGGCAATATTGAAATATTAGATATAAACGAGGAAAGCAAAATTACACGCACACAGCACTTACCAGCAGTCTAGCCAGGCCAGGAAATCAACTGTGCAGTTTATCAATTTAGTTATCTTTGAGACATTACCATTCCTTGCAGCCCTGCATGTTTTTCAAAAAGACATGTTGGACATTGACATTACTATCACTTCTGTTTTTCTAAAACTTACTGCAAAGATAAATTTTCCTCTTTCACTTAAAACTTCAAAAAGATGCTTATTTAACCCAACAAGCAGAAGGAACCACACTGAAGACCACCAGTCACTCCTGGATGACCTCTGCATGCAGTTGCATTATTTGCTTATGCTCAGTGCCTGGCAAGACTTCTGTATCTTTTATGCCCATTTTTTGTGAGCTTTACTAATTTGAATTCCTCTTCACATTCTAATTCACTACACAAAATATGCATCTACACAAGGCAATCAATTATACAGCCTAGCTTCACTAAAAATCTGCATTTTCCAAAGAAATAAATTCTGAATGATTGTTTAACTCATACATAAACTTAAGTCAGTTATACATAAATCATTCTGTAAATATAAAATGTAAACAGTTAAAATACTTCTGTGAGGAGCAGCACCATCTTACATGACTATTTATTAACTGTTCTATATATCTCAATATATCTTTTGTTTAAAAAGTGTATTGAAACTTGGAGCTTCATTAATGAAAACTACTGAATATTTATGACTTAAAATGAACCACTGCTAAGATTTCTGCTACACTGATCTCATGGTGAAATGAAAGAGATAAATATTAATTTACACAGCACTACTTCTCCCCCCTTTGGATGGCATATATTGCTCAATTAATGCATTAGCTACAGAAATCCTGAGGTTCTCCTACCACTTCATGGTTTTTAGCAATCAGTTACTTTTGGTGGAGAAAGAGTAGCTGAAGTTTTGCCCCTACTGCATTCATGTCATTCCCTCTTTGACCCAAAAAGCACTCAAAAAGCACTTGCCTTAGCAGACAAAACTAGTAAGAACCAGAACTCCCAAGAATCACATCTCACATGAAAGTATAGCTACAGCATATTGATATTCCCTCTTGTCAGTCTACACATCCTGGATACACTTCATTCTGTGTGTACAAAAACAGGCTACGAGCTAGAAGTAAACAGTTTATTGGCATTGCAATGTATTATTCATGAAGTATCCTCATGTTTTATGGTGATCACAAGATTTGGCATGCCACAACTCTGCAGAAAACATCACATTACTCTGCTAGGCTGGATATTTCTGCAGCTTTGAAGATATGCTTTGCTTTCTTAAGTTCATAAACCCATTCAGATAATATTACTTCGCAAAGGTTTTTTTCTGTTTCTCTAAAAAACTCCTCACTAATTGTTCCTTTTGCTGAAGTACTATAGGCAAGTGGCCAAAATAAAAGAGGATTTCGTTCACTACCCAGCACCACAGTAGTGTGCCTGAAACTACAGCTGGCTGCACTGAATTCTCTCCCCCTCCATCTGGGACACAGATGTATGACCAAGCATAAAACTTTGAAGGATATCATGAACAAAACATCTGGAATAAATTCCAATTAAAAAATTGAAAACCTATAAAATCTTAAATAATTCATCATATGGTAATGACCACAACATTAATATGTGCTTTGATAAAACAAATCTTAGAAATTCAGTAAAAAAAGATCAGCAGCATAATAGTAAAGCAAATATGCAGATTTTAAAACCACAATAAAAATTACCAGGTTTAATATTTTACAGTTAATTACAGCAAAAAAGTGGCTGCTTATAACACAACTTACAGTTTGAAATTACAGCACTTTATGATGAATTCCATGATTATTTTTGAAAAAACACTCAAAAATACCACCAAATTTTAAAAGTGCCCTATTATTGACTAAAAGGACCCCCCTCCCACCCCCCAAAAGACCAAGTAGTCATCTACAGCAACCCAGAGGTCCAGCTGAGGTTTCTAGACTGCTGTCTGTATCAGAGGCCAATGTTGGATCTGTTGACATTGAAGACACATCGTTGACAGATGACGATGAAGATGGGTGTTGAGAGCCATTGATCATTGCTGCACCTGTGCTATGAGAAACAAAACAGCAAATCAGTTGCAGATACAGTTGCACAGTTCAGTACTTGCATTAGTCTGTCTCTCTCTTCCTAATGGCTGTTACTTTTCCCTGTTTTGGCAAGTTTGAAGAGATGTGTCTCAATCCACTATCAAAATAAATAAAACCCACAAGTCTTAAATGTGGGGCTTAACAGATGGTGTGTCAGGAGCTGAAATAAATGAAATATCTGTGTCAGGAGCTGAAATAAATGAAATATCAGTTACACAGGGACAACGATATGGGGATTGAACAGATCAATAAAATGATGTCAGCCCTGAATATTCCACTCAAATATACAATGTCTGAATTCAAGAGCCCTATTTTTGAGTTAGGTTACTTTTGTATGTCTTCATCAGCTTTACTCCCTCCTGACCTAAAACTCAGTGGAGCCTTGTACTGTGCTTTTATTGTAACCAACCTAAAGGGGCTGGTTGGCCACGTATAACCCCGTTCTTGGTTCTTTCCTCCAGGTCCATGACTTCCTTGTATATCAACTCTGAAAATGCAGAGAAGGAAAAAAATTAATTTGCAACCCAAATACTAGATCAATAACACATCTCCCATTAAAATGTCCACTTCAATTTCATAGGTCTATTACTGTTCAGAATTAGTTTTGAACAACAGATTATAGACTACACAACAACTGGCAAGTGATATAAAAAAGTACATTCTTTTCTGTTGGACCTACAGGGACCTGGGACTCTTGAGAACACACTGGCATTGCTCTAGTGCTCTTTTATTCAGGCTGCTTGGAGACCTGAGGCTAAGTTGAGTCCTTAGGCCCACTTAGTTTTTATCAATGACTTCTTTGATAAGGGAAACTCAATCAGCAGTCTTCACTGGAAGAGCTAGGAATACTTGAAGACTTGTCCTTCTAAGTCAGCATAACATAGCTCAAGCTTCTGCATCTTTTTCAACTGTAGCAGCTCGTCCAGAAGAGTTACCCTCCCTACAAATGCTGTCCTATGGACTGCAAAAGGTGACTGAGACGAGCAGGTCTTTAGCTCACTTCAAAGGTTCACCTCCTTTGCAGGAAAAGCTTGTGTCACAACAACTGAGAGGCTGTGAAGCACTGATCTGCTCCCCTGACATCCAAGCAGATGAAGTAAATACTATCAGGTTGCTCAGAAGAACTTTAAAAACAATAATCACTGGGGCCCAGCATAGTCCCAAAAGGCTTATTATACTTCAAATGCCTTTCTTACCTTTCCACTCTTCTATCGTGTGCTCCCTCTCATCCAACTGCTTATCTGGTATCTTTGGTGGAGGCTGAAAAACAAAACTAACTCATCATAGAGCAATCAAAAGGGATATAGAACCAGTATAAATTAAAAATGAAAGTAACCATTCAGAATATGAACCTCATTTAAAAATAATATTTACATGATTATATATCTGCTCATACTTGGACTTAGCCTGTTTTTTAGATGCTACCACAGTCTTTAAAGTTCTTCTGATTAACAAATTTTGTAATTTGCTTACATTACTGTAACAGAGAAACAGTCTGGTAGAAGAGCTCCTAAATGCAGCAGTCTCCATCACAAGCAGCTCTTTTCAGCTACTGTTAATTACTAAATTTTCAATCTAGCCATTACAGAGCAGCAGAATTATAATTGCTCTGTCTACATCAAGTAGTTTTTTCTATTCTTAGTGGCCATCACTGAACTTTTCTTTTTAAAAAAATAGCTTTTATCATAAGCTGAAATTATCCTTCAACTAATTTCTCAAGGAAAAAATTTACATTAATATCTTTGTTCATTAGTTTTAATAACTGAAAGCTCAAGATCTTGTATTCAGATGTTGCTGAAACACTTATTTCTAGTTGAAGAATAGTATCAATTTGTACAACTGATGAAAGCATTTCACTTCCCCAAGAATAAATACCTCAGAACCCCATCAAGGGCAATCAAATCACTCTGAAACAACTGAAGCTCAACACATTAGAACCCTATAGGAAAGATTTCAGATGTATGACTACATGTTCAGGAGATGATAGGCAATTATACACCAACACAGAGATACATGAACACAGAGAGAGGTACCTCAGCCCATTTCTGATGCTATTTCTAATAAGCACATCTATCAAGGTCAATAAAAATAATTATGGCTCAGTTAAGCTTCTAATGAAATGTGCAGCAATCTTTTGTCAAGCAGTTGTTCCAAGCATCACAGCAAAATGGCTTCATACAGCAGACTCGTAAGCAGAGACCTAAACCAAGAACTTACAGCTTCTGCTTCTGATGGATCATACCAAACATTGATGTATGGGTGCTGCAGGGCTTCATCCACAGAGATTCTTTTAGAAGCATCTATAACCAGCATTTTTGATAACAAATCTCTTGCTTGACTTGCTGCAAAAATAAAATTTTCTGTTTAGATTACTCCCATATACAGAACACATAACACATTGTTTCAAATTTCTAAAGAGAAGGGTCAGAGTAATCAAGTTCTAATTAAATGTCTATGCAACCCTCACATCATATGAGGTTTAGGAGAGTGGTCCATTTGATGGCAAAAAAACCTGAAGAGAATGACACGGCTGGGAAAGGGGTCAAACATGTTTCATTATCCATTTTCAGCATACAGTGTCCCTTGTTGTGACATCCTTATGTGAAACAGCTCAGGTGGCAGCCTTGTCTCAAATAGCAGCAGGCAAGCACCTACTGCCCCTTTGTCACATGCTTTTAGTCACAGAGAACACTGTGAGAGATTCCACTGAGTAGGTGGCCTTTAGAACCAGTAAGTCTCTGAAGTAACTAGAGAGTATCTATATATTATGAACATAAATTCCTTATTCTCATCGCTACAGAACAAAGATCTGCTCTGCCTACACAACTTCTATTCCAGCCTCCCCCCACTTTTCTCTAAACTGTGTTGGCATCTGCCATTGAGAAGAATATAGATATTTACATGTCTTTATAAAGACAGCTCCAAGAATAGGAGCTGTCTCATGAAGATATGAAAATGGAGGCAAACACATGTCAGCACGTTCATCCACTCTCACGATATAAATATACAGAACCTAAGCAGGATGATTCTATAGTGAACAAAACCAAGTTACATTTCTGTTCAATATATCACAGTTTTAAAACTTTTAAAACATACAACACAGAAGACAAACCTTACCTTTAAGTTTATTGTGTTCGGAGTCAGCTGGGAAAAGGACATCTGGAAAGAGTTTTTCAAAACTATATCCAGCGTATTTAGGTCTGTTCTCCACGTAAGTTCGGACTGTAGGCTGTAATTTCTTCATAAATTCGGGGCATGGTGTTCCTAGCTGCTCTATAACTTTATTCCATTGATCAATATCTAAGGTTATGCAGCTAAGAAAAATACTGTGTCTGGTTTTCAGCTACAAAGTTATGCTAAAACCACATGAAATAACCAACAGAGAAAACAGAGGAAATTAAAGTATCAAGTTCATCATCATGACTTATGACTACTTTCTTACATGGTGAAACAAAGCAAGACTATGACAGCGTAGTCAAGGCAACATGTATTTCACTCAAAATCATTACTGGCTAGAAAAGGATATAATTCTGAGAAACAGAATATTAGAAGACTCACAAAATATTTAAATACAAAAAATTTAACTTAAGTCCTTCTCTGGGTCCTGGAGAACTTGCTCCCTGATCTGAACACACATTGGCAGCAGTGAAGCTTCTACACATCACCAAGGCACTCCTGAGAATGACCCCAGGTGGGTGCTTTGTCCTTCTTTCTCATCTTGGTACCTCAGCCCAGTCCTGGGCAACCTCTCACCAAGGACATGCAACACTCAGCATCAGTGGGCACACAAAGAACCAAGGCTTGGCCCACACAGGTCAGTGACAATATTGTCAGGGACTTGAATGAAGTCAAAGAGTTTCAAGGATGCATAAGGAACATCTTAACTAAGAAGTTTACACACTGTAAAGGGGAGACTGACCACTTCAGGGCAGAAGAATTTATATCTTTTACTGAAATGAAGAAAGTAAAAATTGGTTCAGAAATCCCTAGTTGCAGATGGTTAAATACTGGAGAAGAGCTCGGATAAAATTTTATATACACAAATTCATATTCTCCCCAACATTTTCTCTTTGGCTGCCATCAAAGACTGGATACCAGGCTACCCAAATCAACAGCTGAACAAGGGTTGAAGCAGACCCTCTCTTCTATTCTTAAAACTCAACAGCAGATCTCTATATAAGGATTCTCAAGCTCTGCTGAGCTTTAGTAGAGGCCTTGACAAAAGGAACTATTTACATTGTATGGTACCAAGTCTAAATTGAAAAGCCATGCCAGCAAACCAGATGCATAAAGCAAAGCATGGTGCAGCTCATGCAATGACAGAGCTGTGTGAAAGTAAGGATGCTCTGGATTTCCTTACCATGGCTCAAAAATCTCGACCCCATTTTCACCCCTAAATGGTACTACATCAATTTTTAAACAGTAACCTGTACCAAAAGCAGGAAACATTTCTGATGGCATCTAAAAAAACACTCTGTAAGTAATCATAAAACAAATAGGATGTCAAAGTCCAATTATTTTCACTAATTTTAGCAAGGATCTGGAGGTTTTAGTTCTGTTTGTTTGGAGCAGACTCTTTTTCTGAAATACTGTTCACAGGACAACCCATATAGACACCACCAAACCATCCATGGAATAGAAAGACAGAAATACCAGATATTTATGAAAGCTCCTTGCAGGATCATTTCTGCATACAGAAAATAAATCTCCAGAGTGTAACTAATGAAGATGGTTAGGAATTTTGGTAAACATTCTCTATAAAATGCAAAGAATAGTAACTACTAACATGCTCAGGCACAAAACAAGATTAGTAAATTACTACATAAAAATGAATTCCAAAGTAAAACCCAATGCATATGAACCAAGAAAACACCATCTAAACAAAAAGAAGTCTGTCTTAATTGTGACAACATTCAAAAGTAATGAAGAGGGACTATATTACACTGGAAAAAGAAAAGAAGAGGGGAAAAAAGGAAAAGAAAAAATAAGTCTGTTTGCCCAAGTGGTATATAATGAACTTGCACACTGGTATTTGAAAAGGCAGTTTAAAACCAGTATTTTAAAAATTAGAACCACTTTAATCTGGAATTGTATCACTGCAGTATCTTTTGACCTTTTACAACTACATCTCAGGCCAAGGGTAAGGATACGATCTGTACCAGGAAATAAAACACCACCTTTGATCATTTCTCCCATGATGCACCCAACTGACCAAATGTCAACTGAAAACAAAATGCAATGATATTAACATAAAAGATAGTTATTAAAATAAAATAAATAAAAATATCTAGACACAGACATACACATGAAGTGACTATAAAAAGCATGTGCAATGAAAATGAGTGAAGGTGAATGTATGCTAACTACAGGACCAGCAGAGACTATGTCCTACTGCTAGGTGCAGCCTGAATATAAATGATTTTTTTTAAGTGTATCACAAGAAAAATCCATGTTCATTTAATAAAAAAAAAAATTGTACAATATGCATCTTCATGACACAACATCAATAAGAAAGTTAATGACTTCCTAACTAATTCAACCTGCTGCAGCAGCACAAGGATACAGTCCCTTCCTGGAAAGAGGATTTTGTGGCAAACCATTTCGCCCATAATGCACCCCACAGACCATAAATCCACTATGTTTGTAGCACAAAAAGAAGGAAAAGCAAAGCAAACGGTCATTTAAAATTAAAAGAAGCATAACATGACTGCATCCTATAAACTGCAGAGACAGCACAGGAAGAAGAGCAAGTCTTTGTATTAACCAATGAAAACAATTTAACATACACCATGTGTAAGGATTAGCTTTTAACTGTCTCAAATACAAGGCAGAAAAACATCCTTTTGTTTAATATAGTGCTAGAGCAAGAGCTTGAGCAGAGAGAGAGAGAGACAGGAATCAGGCAGAGTAAAGCTCTTCTCCAAGGCTGGAGGCTCCAAAGTTACCTCTGCCAAGGCAACACATTCAAGCACCAAACAGAGATTGATTCCTTGAAAGTAATTCCACTGTAGTTGGAGTAATTCTAAAAGTAACTAAGTAAACTGACCTGTAAAAATATTGCCTATTAAAGCAGTTCATGCTTTTTAAGAGAATTACATAGGAATTACAATTTGACATCAAGTATTTCCTAGAAGTTTTTATTTCCAAGATTACCATGCATCTCTCTCTCGCTTTAAATAAAAAGCAAACAGAATCAGTAAAAGATCACTTAGAATTTTAGAGGATCAGTTAATGACAATGTTAGTATGCTCCTAGATTTTCAGTTCGAATAATTTGTTTTAAAATATGTCTCCAGGTACACTGAAATAACACTTTATACAAAAGAAAAACTTAAAAGCAATTTTTAAAAAATGAAATATGCATTTTCTACATTACCTTAAAATAAATCACTCAGAAGACATAAAGATGCACAAGTTTACTTTGTACAGGTAAGCCAATTTCTTTTGCAGTTACTTTCAGAAGTATTGTTAATTCCATATACAAAAGTTTTCTTGAAGTCATAACAATGAAATTTTATTATTATAAATGTCAAATATGACACTGGAATTTCAATTAAGCAGATAAGAGGGGGATTCAAGTGACAATAATAATATAGTAAGAATTTATGAAAATGTTCTGAAGGAGCTCAACAATGTCAAGCAAACAATATTGCTTCTTATTTTGCAATATTCCTTCTCCTTTATTTAATAAAGTTCCTCTAAAATAGTATCTAGATAATATGATAGGAAATCATAGTTGTGCATATTAATAGGTCAAAATTAAGGGCCTTGCTCATTTAAAAAAATGTTGTCAACACCTTAGTTTAGTGCTCTTTTTCCTTTAAAAACTTTTTTTTTCAATTACTTAAGTACATATTATTTGGCTTAGAGACCCAAAGAAGCCAAGTTTTGCATTTGACTTTTTAAATAAAATTCTGAATGCTGACTTTTTGATCTGCAAACAACCTGCTGCCATCACAACCCAAAATATACCCAAATCTCTTGTAAAGAGCTTGTGTCCAACATGATAAAATTACCATTCTTCTGGTATCCCTACAAAACCAAACTTGAGATGTCTTGTGGTGTTTTGACTAACTGCTTTCTATAATCAGACAAAACCCCATCTAATTACAGGTCTCTAACTTTTGTAGCAAGCTGAACCAAAGCTACTGTGAATACTTTTACAGAAGACTAAAATAATCTCATTACAGATTTGAAAAATACTACTTGTAAAAAAATCTATTGCTGTCATAAGGAGTTCATTTTATTCTTAAGCCTGTGAAGTGAACTTACTGATTTTTATTACTCTAGGAGAAAAAATACCATGTGAAAATGAAGTTTAAACCAAATCTACCTAGTAGGAAATGTAAAAGTACTTTTTTTCATAGTGTTTAGGGCTTTCCTTGTTTTTCACTGTTGCCTTCCTGATAATCATGGACATAACAGTGCATAAATCCGTTAAGGAGTATGTGCACGGACAGCTCTGGTGTCCTTTAGCTGGTTTCTTAATGTGACACCCCCAAACATCCTTCAGTAGAAAAGCCTACATAAAAGTTAACTCTGTGTATTTGTTTGGGCTCTCTAGCTTTAAAACAACTGAAGATTTTGTATCTGTGTAGTATAGCAACAAAAAAATGTTACCCTGCAGTACATTATCTCAGTCATCACAATACATATTGCAATCCTCCCCCAAGTTCAGCAGGGCACAAACTACAGGAAACTTCCAGACAACCCTGCAACCATTGGAAAACTGTCCATTTTCAATATTTAACTCCACACTAAATAAGGTCACAGTTAGTTTAACTTTGGGTGTAATGGGCTACAATAGGCATCAATACTAGCAGGTGAGGTTCCTGGAGAGCCCATGGTTCTTTCTGTAAGTGCATCCTTGATGCCCATCTCCCTGTCATGGCAGCTCCACAAACTCCTTGGCAGAGAAGACTTAACAGCTCACCTAAACTGCCTTTTAATGAGAGCAGTATGTATGGAAATGTAATTGTCTTTGGACTCACTCCATACATTTACATTCTCCAAAAGTGCCACTCTCATTTCAGTGACCATGTATTTGGCTCTGGGAAGATGTAATAGCTTTTCAAATGAAAGTAAATTATTATTTATGATGCACAACACAACTCATGCTTCCATTTGGTACAGGATTATCACAAGCTTGATACTCCAGAACACAATCTAACTCCAATAGTGGAAAGAATGTTTCACGATTTTGCAAACCAAAATTACTTATTATTTAAGAAAAAAATTAAACTGGGCAAGCTGAGTTAGAAAACTTCTGACTTTATCAATTCCTCCTGTAAGGCAGCTGCATGACTCACTACTATAGCTTTAGGTACTTTTCTTTAATGTCCCTTAAACAGCCAATATAAAGTCTTTGGGGAAAAAAGACAAAGTTAAATTTGCAAATCTAGAAAACTTTAGGAATTAAATAACTAATTTGCTGTACTCAGCCTGTGACTCCTGAATTACAGGAAAAACAGTCGACCATGGAGGACATTTGAAGAAATGTAGGTTCTCTCATGCACACTAACAATCTAAAAAAATAAATATCTCAGTTTTGCAATAGAGATCCACTCTCATTCCTCTGAGCTGGCTTTTTTTCATTGCTAGCACCATTCACAGACAGTCTGAAGTCACTTGCTGCAATGGTATGCAGTTGCCAGGCAGGTTTGCAGACTGTGTTAGGAATGCTGAAAAGCAGAGCAAGCCCCAGTTGTGTCAGGAGGTGAGGAGCCACATCTCACATCCCCAGGAGACAGCTCAGGGCCTCCCTGGAAGCCTGGCCAGCAGAGTTTGAAACACACAGGGTGACCTGTGGGCACTGCCAGCCTGAGGTGTTGACAAGTGAAAGCAGGGGGACAGGGAGAGCACAGCAGCGAAATGGCAGCAGAATCAGGCCACTCCAACGGAGCATCAGGAATGACACCACACTTGGTTCTCCTAATGGGTAACCAGAGCTGTTTCCTTGCAGGTGCAATGTATTTGATGATGTGTTTCTCTCAAGTGACAGATCTTTTTTATTTTCCCTTAGAAGATACTGAGAGGCAGACTGGTCACAGAGTGAGTATGGTCAGGAGGAAGTGTATGCAAAGTAAAATTCCCCTGGAATTTGTCATGGACCTCAAGAATCTATTATGCATGTACTGTCATCTTGACAGTATTCTCTGTAAGCTTGTCTCAAGTATATTATTGAGTTTTTCTTCAGCAACATTAAGAACTTAGTGCAAAAGGCTTAAAGGAGGCTGATTTTAATAAAAAGCAATGCTACAGTAGGTAATCTTAACTTGTTTGTTCCTCAGTAGATTTTATGCTCCCTACCTCCTGAAAGGCCATACCCAATATAGTTATTTAGCACCGAATTTAGTACACATATCTACTGAAGAATTAAAATTTCTTCTTCAACAGGAATCATGTCAGATGAAGGTATATCAAAGTACATACCACATACTAAGAAAATATACTTCCAGTTCTTCCTGGATGTCATATAATCTACCAAGGAAGTTATTTGAATTTTTAAACAAACAAGGCCCTCAATTTCTTCTCCTATTAAATGCAAACATTTTCTAATGGGTTGAGTTGAATAAACAAATTGGTGTATCCAGAATCTGCATTTTGGTCACAAGACTAATTTATAAAATTTCTACAGCTTGAAAAAAACATTAACATGTAAAATGTGGTGTGCCAAACAAAAAAAAATAAAGCTATGCCAAAGAAAGACTATATTTGCTGACCGTTTTCTTTGTATCCCATCCCTAGGATGACCTCTGGTGCTCTGTAGTAACGAGTCACTACATAAGGCGTCATCATAAAACTAGTTCCTGCAGTTCTGGCCAGTCCAAAGTCAAGAATCTTCAAAGTGCAGTCTGACTTTACTACTATATTACTGGGCTTTAAATCCTTTAAAAAGAAACATCATATATGACTGCTAAGACAAGCACAAAGTAGCCTGTGGTTCACATTTTAAAAAGATAATATTGCTAACATTAAATCCCACGCACACAACTAGGTTATTGCTATAACTGCAGCTTTTTTCCCCTTGCATCAATTTATGTGCACTCAGCAGATTACAGAATTAATTCCTTTATTGTGCTTGTAGATTTATATAGCAATTAAAGAAGGAAAATACAACCAGCATTACAAGATATGTTAGCAATGTCTGAAATAAATTGAGGTTAGTAAGACGTGTTAGCTCTCAGGAAAGGTCTAGAAACTGCTCACTGGAACAATAATTATTACTACAACGCAGAACACAAGTAACATGACAATTACTTGATTCAATAATCATCTTGATACAAGAATTATTAGAATTATAATGAATGTAAAAGGTTCATTTGCTAGTTGAGGTTACATTACCTCTTTTGAATCAATATATTTCTCTGAAGAGAAATCTCCATGCCCACATGATTTTAGTTTCCAATTTATGACTTGGTTTTATGTTAAGTTTGGCAACCAAACCCAAAAAGACACCATTGAAAAACTGCCAAAAAATTAACACAATCCTTGAATTGGAGTGGAAAATGCTGACATGCTTCAGATTGTTTGGTGAGCAACATAGTAACTATTCTCCACACTTGAACCCTTTTGACAATAGTGCCTTTGCAACATTTATTTATACAAACACTACCCTGGCTTTCTCTGTCATCACCTCAGCAGGATCTTACACACACCTGAATGTCACAGAGTAAATATTATAGAGTAACTTCAGAATAACTTTGCAATCATAAAGTCATTCACAGCACACGGGACAACACAGATAAGACTAAGATACATCCTTTCCCACACTCTACTGAGATTAATGAGAGAAGAACCTGAGATGTGACAGAGAACTCCAGCACCTGAGCAGTAAGCATTTGATAAGTAGCCCTATCTGTCTTGTTTCTTAAAGACTTAAAGGTGGATATCTGCCAGATTTATGTAGTTTTCATTTGTATTTGGATGACTTTCAGCAATCTCCTCATAATGCTAAGAAAACTGCATTAAAAATCAAGAGGAAACAACAAAAAGAATTCCAGTACAGCAGAATTTTAATGACTAGATGACACTCTTGCATACATACATATTCACACATGCATTTCCACACAAAGCCTCTGCAGACAACTTTAGCTTAAAACATTCTCAAATACCACAATTAATTTAAGTTCTATAAGGCCTTCTGGCCATTTAATATGCATGTTTCAGATTCTGCTACATTCCTTTTTATTATCAGCTTTATTTCTACACACTTATTATTTTCAGGATGTTCACTGCAGAATGCCAGGCGCATGCTCAGGGTATTAACTACACTCATCCTCCCCAAAGCAGCAGGATTAGCACTCAAAATGTTAAGAGATCTTCTCTTTGCTTACCAAATGCTGTCCATTCTTATTTCTGAACACCATGTAGCTGTCATGAAGCCTAGGATCAAAATGATGAGTTGACTTACACTACATTAAAATTCATGCAGAGATGCAGAACCTGCATCTCTTATATATATATATATATATATGTATGTATGTCTTCTGTTAAATAAACAGAAACTAAAAAGCTCATTTGGGAGTGATCAAATTAATTAGGATGGATAAATATAACTAGAACCTATAGCAGAAAATTTCTCACTGAACCTTGAAAATGTAAAATGTCAGTGCTTAAGAAACAGATTCTTGCATGGCCGTCTCCCCATTAGCCAAAGAAGGAGACAGGGACATCTCTGGAGGGTAATTCATGGCTTCTTGGGGGCTTTTCACTTTCTAACAGAAGATTTGTGAAGGGCTTCCGTAATTAGGCCCCTTGTTAAGTACTCAAAATTGGGCAGAATTCACTGTTTCAGAGCCTCCATGCAAGACTAATGAGCCACTCTGTGTCCCTCAGAAAGTCAGTGAGGCACAACTCTGCAATGCTGATCATTCATCCTCAGACTGTGAAATATAAATTAATGTGTACTTCTATATTGGCTGGAAATTGCTTCTCTGCAAAATGTTTGGAACACAGTAATGTTGATTGGCCAACATCTGTTAAAGTCAGTGCAAAGTTATGGTCAAATCTTTACCCATTGATATGGCAACTAAGTTTGCCCCTACAACTTCAAGGTGAAGTTGAATGAAACTCCTTGTGTTTGATCTCTGCCTTGTTCCATGCCTCTAGCTTGCTATCAAAAAACCACTTAATTCTAGAGTACAAAGAGTTACCACTGCAGCCACATGGTCTGTGTGACACATGCCCCTTTGCAGGATATCTTCCTTGTAATCCAAGGTTTTGTCCAGCTTTCTCCATAGAGAAACAAAACTTTGACACTTTGCATCTTGATGCAAAAAGGCACAATGCACTTAGCAGGTAACGCTGTGCCTGAATATCCTCAATCTTCTAACAAAGTCTAAGAAGAAGCTCTCAGCTGAAAATCTACCAGGAAGACATGCAAGTGAAATGTCCTTCAAAAGCATCTGCACATGTCCTTTAAAAGCATTCATGCATACATATGGTGCTATTTACATAGCAATTGTATTTAGTTTTCTTAGGATAGTTTATCCCTGTATGATAGGAAGCATTTCAAAGACTTAACCCATATTTACAGAGGAAGGAATTCTAACCTCAAAGCTGTCTTCACTCTTGCCCAACTAACTAAGTAGTTACTTCTTTTCTGTAAATGTAAAAATGTTTAAATTAATCCACAACTTCTACAGGATCAATGCCCACTTCAGAGGAGTACAAACCACCCTGAAGCAAGCACACTTTTAGAAGCTCCCCGAAGCTTGTGCTAAGATCCACAGAGAGGCATTCTTACTTTATGTACTCTAGCACATCCAGACAATACACTGTTTTCTGAAACTAAATAAGACCTAGGAAAGTCCACAGCATTAAACTTGCACACTTAAATATTGAAGAGGAAATGTGAAACTGTATGCAAACCATTATTTCAGACCTACAGGCACATGACATTAGAACACCACAGGCTGCATATTTTCAATCATAAGCAATATAGTACCACAACACTAAGTGGAACAATCTAGTTTTGCTGAGCATTCCCAGAACAGTGCAAAAGGCCCAAGTGACCTATTTCAAATGCCCACAAGCAGACCAAGCAGCATCAGGTACAATGCCTGGGTACAGGCAATGCTCCTCCCTCCCTTGCACATCTCTTCCAACACAGCAGTTCAGTGAAATTGCATGCAAGAAGGAAGGTTTCACTTTCATTCCTTGAGCTCTTCACTGGAATGACACAGCTAATGAGTACTAGAACCAGCTGAGCAAAAGGAAGCAGCATTTGCCCATTCAAGCTGTATTTTCCATTCAAATAATTGTCCCTGTTTCCCTGGGGAAAAGATGGCACACTGAACAGAAGTGTCAGACTGCAGATCCAGCTTGCAGACCATTCAACACTCCAGTCACAATGTGGTGGACCACTGACCTGGACTAGCATCCTAACATAGCAATTCCTGTGGCAGTGCACAGGAAGTTATAACCAGACAATCTCAAGCAATTTTTAATCTATATACCATTACATACAAGATGCTCACTTGAACAGGGAACCCTAAATTCAAACCTTCTTGACTAAATTGCAACACACACAGGCCATTTAAAAAGCTGCAGTCAGTTTTGCCTGTTAACCATCTGAGTGAGTGATTTGTGACACACAGGTGTTATCCAAGTTCCAATGACAAGTCTTTATCATCATCATCTTATCTGGAGATTTCAGATAGTTATTCCTTACTCTGCTAGTAAAGGAGAAGAAATAAAACGGGCAGTTCTTTCCAAAGATGGAATTTCAGGTTTGGTTACCAAAACAATAAAGGCAGAGACGCTTCCAGATATCCTTTCCTGCCATGCCTACTAAAGTAGAATATTATACAGAATTAGAGGAGGTAATGCAACTCACTGCAAAAATCTTCAGTTTACTCTGTGCAGATTGTTACCAAATCATTTAAACATTAAAAAGGCTCATTCCAGAATTATTCTGGAAAAAAGTGTGATGATTTCCCTTCAGCTTTCTCTCCCTGCCTATGGGACAGGCTATGAAACACCCTTCATGCTCCTATTTCTAACTTCTTTTATCTTTTAAATACTCAAGAAAAAACCAGGTGCAATGCAAATTAATACATTTTAGTTCACTTACCCTATGAATAATCCCAGCTGAATGAAGATGTTTGATACCACACAGCATTTGATAAAGAAGATAGGACATTCGTTCATGGTCCAGCTCCATCTGAATCACTTGGCAGAGATTTGCATCCATGAGCTCCATCACTATGTAGCTTACGAAGAAAAAAAAAAGAATAATCAGATAATACTGCCATTTTACTGTATTCTCTCTCTTAATCATCTTTTCATAAAATAAATTCTCAGCTTTAGCTCAAATCTGACTTACACATCTTGAAATTCTTCCAGGGATTTTTGCGGTGTGAACACATTCAGTAGGCCGATTATCTGCGGGGAGGGGGAGAGGAAGGTAATTGTACCACAGCAATAAAAAGTTGCAGAGTCAACATTTCAAAACTGATAACTATTATTCTGATATGAACCTCCTGGTATACACTGAAGCTCAAGATGCTCAGTAGCTCAACCAGGCCTAACATAATGTAAACAGATACAAATGATTTTGAAAGGAGTATTTTTCCTCCACAAATCACATAATCTAAAGACACTCCATGTGTTAACAAGATGATATTCAAATCTTAAAACCTAAGTAGCTTAGTACTCTTCCCCTTTTTCCTACTTTCAGTTTGAAGACCTGGTAAGATTTCTTTTTTGTACATGAGGAATAATAAAATTAAAACTGATGAAGACTCCCTAAAAGAGACCACTTGGCCACTGACAGAGGTGAAGAAACAACTTCATCCAAACAGAAAAACAGAAACAGGTTCTTACAGATGCATTAGGACATTTTGCATTAAGAGTGGACAGGATGTACAGAAAGAGGTCAAGCTACTACTCATGAAGAATCATCGTACAAATTATGCTATTAGGTGGAACATCCTTCAGTGAATCCACATATATACCACCTGTGTAAGAAAATACAAAATTTTCCCAAAAAGCTAGAAGACCGAGTAAGTTTCCTATGACACTCTCCCTACCTAGCAGCCAGGAGAAATTTTGTCTTCCTGATGGGGGATTAAAAGAGAAGGTAAAGTAGACTGCACACATCTGACTCTGAAGGAAGAAAATGGCCAACACCAGCCTTCTGCAGTTCAACTCCAATAAATTTATCACCTACCTGCTTCACATTTCTGTGATCTTGTCTACTGCACAGCTTCATAAATACTGGACAGCTACTGCTGTCACAATATAAGATTCTCAACTCATTCATGCAACAGGGGGAGAAAATAAAGGTATTAAAGCCTATTTCTTTTTTCTCCTATTTGTCTAGCAGCAGGATGCACTTACCAGCCATGGTATGCTTACTTGACAGCTGCTTGTAAATTTTAGCAATATAACACTGAGTCCCTTGCTGAGCTTGAAGGGAGTATTTAAAGATTGGGCAGGTATAAAACCTAGTCAATAATAGCTCTTCTGCAAGACACTTCCGTACTTATCATGGAGATACAGCTATGCAATGGAAATCTCCTCTGAAGTCACCTTCCAGACTTTTACAAAGGATAACCTTCCAGTTAATTCTTCAAGATCTGAAGGAGGACACTGCACTCACATTTTTGTGATTAACACACTTCATAAGAACAAGCTCTCTGTAGGCTCTTTTAGCGTGGGTTTGGTTCTGAAAAGGTCGGCTTAACTTCTTGATTGCAACATTCCGCTCAAGGATGGCATCATAAGCTGCACTGTAATTAAAAATAACATTATTACATCTCTAGTGTCAAGGTCCTTTAAGCTGTGGCAGTTGTAAACATTTTCAGCTAATTTGTATCATGTCTGCAGAAACCCCAAATTTTCAGTGTTATCCAGCTTTAGGAATGTGATATAGCAAAGTGCTCTTGTATGCTGAGTGTATCAAAATTTAAAAATATTTTCAAGCTTCAGAGCATTAACACATGACAATCTCTACAATATAATGCAGTATTTCTGCTTCCAAAGATACTGAGTTCTTGCCACTCACTGGCAAGAACAGACCATCTACAAAAGATCCAAAACACTTCAAACATAAAAAGCACATCAACTTTACATAAAATCTTCACACTAAAAGGGGGACGGCAGGAAAATTAGGTTATAAAAAGGTCCAATGCTTTAAATTATGTAGTTGCTTAATATTCTGATGACAATGACAGCATCAAAGTCAAGACAAAAAAAATGCTAAGAAAGCTTTAACCTCTAGATGTCACTGGCTTTAACTTGGTGAAAAAAAAACCCAATATTTTGTTTACAGACTAATGCCAACACTGTCATACGATTCAGTGACACAGGCTGTTTAACTGATGAAGACTGTTATTGGAGACAACTCCCTTACATATCACATTTCCAGGACAGGAAGGCATGGCTTGTTTTTCCTGTAAGAGCTAATATAACAGATGACTGCCATGCAGACTCAGGAAATATTTATCAGTTACTAAAAAAGTCTCAGCAGAGAAAATATTATTTTCTTGTCTCTTCTCAAGAATGGTACTCCAATCTAATGAAGAATATCTGCCAGTAAACAGTAGGATCTATTAAATCCAACTCACTACTTTAAGAAGTGGATTTGAATGATTTGTAATTTATCATGAACAAAACCTCTAGACACTAGTAAAGAAAAAGAATGGGAACAACATGTACTGGTAACTTTCTTTGATGTACATTTTCCACTATAATTGGAATTCCCCCACCTGCCCCAAAGATAAGGATTATTTTAGGAAAGGTGGCCAACATAGGACTTCTGTTCTAGTATTTAAACTTCTGCATTCCATGTACATAACAGAAGCCTAGAGCCTATTTCAGCATCAGGCCATCTACTTAATATTCCACCAAATAAAGTAGGATCAGTTACAACAACAAAAAAAAGAAACAAATACAAACCATCACGACAGACAACAAAAACTCCAATCCAAAGAAGTGCACTGTATGGAGACACATGAGCAAGATTTAACCACAGCCCTCATCAGGGAAAGCTGTGATTTAACTAAAAAGGCCTCAATTCCACCACTAGCAGCAACTACAGGATGGCCCTAGAGTAACTACATGGTCAGCTTTGGGATCTCCGCTCTAGGAAGGGCAACAAATTTGGAAAACAGGCAGTAGTTAACATATGACTGGCCATCAGAAGGACAGTAATAATATCTAAAGCTTTTACTGGCATTTCTATAGCAACTAAACAAACTAGTCAAGCAACTGTCTACATCCCCAGTCTGTTAACACACATGTAAACAAAATTCAGATCAGTTATTTTGTTGCTGCTAGTTAATATCAGTAATCTTAATGCCAGAAGTTACCATTTCAAAAACAACTCTTTCTAGTGTTTTTTCTTCAAATCTAAATTTACACTGTTTTATTAATCCTGCTAAAACCCAAACATGAATTAAAAACCCACCTATACCATTCTCTTTACACTGATCACGAACAAGATCAAATTAGTAAAAAGGTGACAGAACTGAGATTACACTCTCCCCTTTTTCTTCCTTGATGCTTTTGTATTTTTATGTACCTGGTTAACATCTTAAGAGTTACAATAAACTGAAAAATTGGCAAGGTCCTTTGATATTTACATCCTTCTCAAACATTCAAAAAAGCTTCCAGGAAGGTTAAGCCAACATTTCTCTTTGAGGCAATACCAATGCACAGGAAACAGTGCCTACAAGCAGCTAGTTGTCAACAACCTAAATCAACTGGACACTTTTCAGTCCACACAGCAGAGCTCTTACTCAAAGAATGACACTGTCAGGTCATACTTGCCCAAAGTGCATCAGGCACTTCCATATGACAGCCAGCATCCCAAATACTCACTCATTGGTATCAAGGACTACTCAGATTGTGAAACAGACTCCTAACAAGCCATTTCAAGTAGTGCAAATATTTACAAGCAGCAAATATTATACAGAGTATTTCTGCTTTTTATTTCACTGCAAGCAGTGTGGTTTATGATTAGGTTTAGTTTCTTTATCCCCATTAATTTACAGGACTCAGCACAACTGGCTGAATTTGCACAGAAGGACATCAATTCTAAAGGTGAACAGGTCAAAAAGCAACAGCAAGCCCTTGCTGAGGAAAAATGGTCACCAGTTACCATTCCTGTTTTGCCCGTAAAAGGTAATTCTCCACACTCCTGGCTCTCTAACATACAACACTCAAAAAACTATGTTAAGGAAACCTAAAGGTACATTTAAATTTTAAAGAAACCTTACCATACTATTCCTTGTGCTCCTGATCCTATTGGTTTCAAATTCTGATACCGTTTCAATACGGTGAAAGTTGAATCTCCAATTTCAACGCTGTAAAAATTGTTGTCACGCTTGCTCCTGCTCATGACGGCAACTTAGCTACTTCACTTCATCCAAATTTTGCTTCTGGCCTATGAAGACAAAATTGGAAAAACTAAGATTTTACAACTGTATGGAACCTGACATAAGGCAAAACTCCTTTTAAGACACACAAGACATTTCCCAAATAAATCCCAAGTGCACATATAAGTTATTTCTAGTGACTGCAGGAGTAAGATGGCAGGTGTTTGAAATGCTGTAATGAATGACAGAAAAATCTTAGATGGAAATGACAGAAGATCAAAAGGCAGGAAGCTCCATAGCATCCAGAGAGCTCCAAGAGTCCTCCCATCCCTCCATACACACTTGCAGCACGGGAGCAGGGCCTGGGCCAGACACCCTCCAGAGGCCCCATTCCACCTGAATTATTGCATAATTCCATAAATAAAAGAGTGACAGAACACGAACAAGTCTTCCAGACATTGCAATCATTAAAATACACTTGGTCACAACCACCAGGAATACCTGACACTGATATGAAAACACATACAGTCAATTGAAGTCAGAAAAGGAAAACTGGCCTTGTCAGACATCTTTCATGAGGAAAAAGTAACAATCACAGAACAAAAGTAAGCAAAAAGGATTTATATTCCACCAAAGTCCTCTCGTATTAAAAAAAGAAATGCAACACCTCAATGCAGATGTCCCACAGGAGAAAAAAATAAAACTGCATCATGGCTTTTACAGTAATATTTCTCATTTCTTTAATGCTAACAGTGCACTTTTAACTTTACACAAGTTTTGAGTGGAGCTTTAAGAGATGCCTAGTAGTACAAGTATGTGACTAGAAGAATTGTATTTGTTTCATCAGCATGCTGTCTTCCATTGTTATTAACTTAAGGAACATCTTCCTGTGTTACTCAAGTCCCAAAGAGACTCTTGCCTTCCATATGCCACAACACTATACATTTGTTAAATTTTAAGCAAGCTTTGAGAACACAGACAGTGCAAACATTGCCTCCACAAATAATAACAAATTTTGCACAAGTAGTATTATTCTTAAAATCTATGTATTCCACTTTTAACTAGCTAACCCGTATTCACTTCACAGCCAGAGGTACAATCAAAACACTCTGACATTCTCTAAAGGAGACATTTTTAACTATTTGAGATATTACTAATTAAAAATGTGCGACCTTAATTGGCATTTATCTCAAAAGAAATGTCAATTTCAAGACCCCTTTTCCAAAATGTTGTCAAAAAACCAAACCTCTGTTATAAAGAGTTAACTAAATACCAAAGCAGCTTCTCTCAGTGTTTTGGCAGTTTGATTAAACGCTTCCTTCTCCAGCTGACAGGAGAGGCATAATTGGGCAATAGTGACTGTTCCTTAACACAAGGAAAAAATCTGTATCCAGACTGTACTGGTAGGGTGCAGGTCAGCTTACTGGAGGGAGACCAAAAGCCTAATTTCTTAGCAATGTATGACACCAACCCCAGCTCTTTCTTATCTATCCATCTTATCACTAAGTCTTTGGATTCAACACTTTGTTCACAGATGTACTTGCACACAGTTTTGGAATAAAAATGCCCAACAACATATAATGATAAACCGCCCTGTGAATTAGAAAAGAGAAAATTTGTTGTGGACAGTATGAAATCAGCCAAACACATTTTTGAAAATCAGAAAACAAAGAATGAAGACACTAATTCATGTAATCTTACATTTGTTCATCATCAGCTGAGAAAACCCCAGTACCTTGAATTTATCCACTAAAACTGTATTAAGATCGAGTGACACCTGCACTGACCAATGCAGGATTAGCTGGAACAGCTTAGTCAATAGAACTCTGCTGTTTGGTATCAGCATCAAGATAATGAAAACTTAATACTTCACTCTGGATAATTCCTCAGAAACAAATGCAGGAAGGACTCTCCCCTCCTTCCAAGGTTTCCAGGTGAGTGTTGGCACCATTCCATTAAAAGTCAGTATTTTGACTAGTCAAAGCTAAGTGTTTAATTGCATTTTCTTTCATTTTGGTAAACTTCATAGAATCAAAGAGTGAAACCAAGCAAGCATAGTTAAAGAAAAGGATCTTGAGAGATAATGTTCTCTGAGAAAATAATTCCTTTATAGTAACAGATTTTACTATATATCATACATTGTATTATAACCAAGCAAATTTTATTGCTTAAAGCCTTGTAATTTGCTACACATTCAAAACTGTACAAGGAAGCTTGTATTTACTAACCATTTTATAATTCATAACAGTACTTTAGTACACAGCAGCATGTAAGAGAACTCATTGTTTATTTTCACTAATAACATGAGGAAGGAGGGAGAGATATCCCAAAGTGAGGAAGAAGTGTGTCCACTTGCTGTTAAATTCTCATTCCTTTCTCTGCAGCCCTACATGGTGTTCATCAAAAATTATCAATCTGTACTGTGACAGCAAGAGGTACAGTCTCTCTCTTGATTGTACATGCATGCTCTCCTAGCATAAAACAGATGTACTAAGTGCTTCAGAAGACATGGAGCCAATTCTCAGAAAAGCCATTTCTCCTTGCACATTTTGTTTATACCTTCATTAGACAATACAACATGAAAATCCAGGATTCATCCTATCCTATAATACATAATCTCTTACTTTGGGAGTATCCTTTTATGTAAGAAATCATACATACTCAGCTTATTTCTACTTCAATGAAGTACAGCTGACAAGATATTTTCATATCCCAGTACCTTGAAATACAATAAAACAGAAGAAATGAGAAAAACCAGAGATGGGAACAACCATCACTAACTACAAGTTTTGCATTAAATCAGACTTGGTTTTCATGATCATGACTTCTAAAGCAATCCTCTCCTAAACAAGCAAGGATCAAGTGAGCTAAGTCTTGGAAGAAACTTTGGATGCTAAGCCAGCAAACAGTCTCTGGGACAAGGCATGTCTGAGGTACAACCCAAACACCAACTGACAGTGATCTGTGTACATGTGCTGGCACAACTGTTCTACAGTGAAAGATTACTACAGGAGCTGCTCTGAAGTAGGACTGACAAAAAATGAAAACCATGACCGTCAAAGAGATGCAGAAATGGAAGAAGGCAATATTAAAATAAAACAATTACATATATTAATACAGTAAATAATAATATAATCAACATAATATAACAACATAAGCTACCTATCAATGATGATTCAATAACTCCATTTAGAAGGCATCTAACACCATGAAAATCAATGTTCTGTAGGAATCTGTGGTTGACCTAGAAAAATCCAACAGTTCAAGTACATGCTAGTTTGCTATGAATGCAAAACAAATGGACAGTGTATATAAAGCTCTTGCATTAATGACTCTTATTTAATTTCTCTGTGAAAATACAGTTCACACATAGCTGATTTGTATGCATCATGTGTTTTTGAATGCTTGTCTAATTTTCAGCTGTCATGTTTAAAGGTATCTGGATAGCTGCTAAATGGACAGTTCAAACACAGCCTAGTTTTCACATATGCTTGCTTTAAAGGCTCAAATTTAGGCTCAAAACAAAAGAATAGTTTCTAAAGGTAACTTCATAGCTCATTCAGTGAGTCTCAGAAGTAATTATGATTTTAATGTTTTGTTTGTCCACGCTGCCCTCGAAACTGAATGTTGTATTTTGCAATACTTCCAGCTCTGTTAAATATTAATGCAGATAGAGCATTTGGATAAAGGAGTTCATATTAGCTGGGTGAAAACTGCAGCAAGATATTACTAAACCATTACAAATGCCAAAGATGTCTAAAAACCTGAAGCTTATTCTCAAATGGAATATTCTCACTGCTGACTCTAGGATTTGCATGGCTTTCACAGATCAGATGGCTTTAAGCTGAACAACCTCCAGCTGCCTGAACTACTCCTAATGCTGCCATGTGTTTAGGGAGGCCTCCAGCTGCTGTGCCCTGGCAGTGCCTCTCCCCTAGCTACTGCACACCTGCATTACACAGAACCCTGCCTGCTCACACCACTCACAGGACAGGAGGCACAGCACAAACTAAAAGTCAACAGCTCTGATCTCAGGAGCTATTTTCTGCTTGCAACTATTAACGAAACCACAAATATCCTGGAGTGATTCTTGTATAGCTCAGGTCGGAAGGACAGTGCAGGTACATTTCTTAAAAGAACTAGATTTTAACGTATCTTCTGTCCACCAAGAAGTCAAACTTCACTTGTTACAGATTCAGTAAAGCAAAGGTGAACACTAGATCTCAGTGCTCACCAGGAAAAGAAGTACTGAGGCTGGGGAAAGCTGCATAAACATGACAAGGGCACATTTAGATTTCTACGTTATGACTTGCCTACTGCTTTCAAGTTCAAACAGAAAAGGGTAGTGTCACCCTGTTTGCTCAAACACAAGAAATTTAAGGCACGTTTAATTTTTTTTAAACTTTAGGACAGTTACATTTTTTGTAGCCATTTATATATGGAGAATTCAATGCCAATTACTTGATTTCCCAGAACCTATTGAGTATTCAACAATAAACAGATGGCTTTCTCCACTAAAGATGGTAATTTCAGAAAAGATGACAGGCTTGGTACAGACAAATAAATTTGGCTATAAAGCAAAATATTCCTGAGTACACAACAGCAAATGAATCTTAAAAAACTGTAATATGGGCAGTTTAAATCAAGGAATTACTTCACTGGCTTGGCAAACATTGTTGCCAGATTGATACATCTCTTGCAGAGATATGGAGCCCTCTCTGTTAATCTACCTCTGTCCTCGGTAAAATTTAACAGAGAACAACTACGTAGAGTCCTAAATTAATAAACAATGGACTAAATCTACTAATATGAATGCAACCTTTGCCATAATTTAATGTTGCAGTTTACAGGTTCATACAGTGACTTACAACATGCTCCAGCTAGATCACATGATGACTTTCCAGTCATCTAGGAAACTAGATACAATTTTCTTCATATGTGCCATCTCACCTTATTAAGACAGTGTAATTGAGGAGTTTACTAGAAGGGCAGAACATACAGGGAAATAAATCACCCCCTTCTCCACTCCAGCAGTCTTTTCTTGGCCAGTAGTCACCTTACTACAGTT